TGTGTGTGTGTGTGTGTGTGTGTGTGTGTGTGTGTGTGTGTTGGGGATTGAACGCAGTGCCTTTGCACTGAGTTACATCCCCACCCTTTTTGAAGTTTTTTTTGTTAAGTTTTTTTATTTTGAGACAAGGTCTCACTAAGTCACTAAGTTGCCCAGGCTGAACTCAAACTTGGTAACTCTTCTGTCTCAGCCTGCTACAGTGCTGGGATTACAAGCATGTGTCACCACACCTGGTTTAACTATTTTCAAAGTAGACAGAAAAGTGAGAAAATTATATGCTAGGCTAAAAAATAGCAAAGCAATGACAGAGCTATGAAAGAACATGAAATGTTCAGGAAAGATAAATATTGCTGGGTGTGGTGGGCAGGCCTGTAATCTGAGCACTTAGGAGGCTGAGGCAGGAAGATTGCTGTGAGTTCAAAGGCAGCCTGAACTACATAGAGAGACCTTGTCCCCCCCCAAAAAAAACCCCCAAAATAGTTGATATGATTAGATTTGCTTCAAAAAATATGATTGTTTGGGGTGTGGTGTACAGATTGAGGAGAGAAGACAGTGCTGATAACCACATGGTGACTTTTATTAGGCCAGGTAAGCACCAATGACCCCTCCAACTAAAGAAGTGATAGTGGGGAATAGAAGAAGGAATTTTTAAAAAGAAAAGAAGGAATTTAATGGGATCCAGAGAGTAATGGATGTTTCAACTGAAGTTCTTAGTCAACAGGATATGTGATATATATGTGAAAAATAGCTGCTTCTGCTGTACTTTCTGGTTTTTGTTTGTTTTTCCTGACAGATGATTCCCAGAGATTGCTTATCCTTTTCAACTTTCAGTTCTTGTGTAGAGCCCTTTCATAACTGGACTTTTGTTTTTTTTGGCTTTTTTTGAGACAGGGTCTCCCTTTGTATGTAGCCCAGGCTGGCCTCAAACTCGCAGCAATCCTCCTGCCTTACCCTCCTGAGTGCTGGTACAAGTATATGCCATCACGCCTAGCCATAACTGGACTTTTGAAAGTAGAAATCATGTTTGTAGAAAACTTTTTTTTCCCCAGTACCAGGGATTGAACTCAGGACCTTGTGCTTTCGTGGCAGACACGGTGCCACTGAGATAAATCCCCAGCCTGTAGAAAACTTCTGAAAGTAAAAATAAAATAAAATAAAATACTGCAAAATGAAGCATCTTCAGATATCCCTAGACACAAAGTGCAGCATATGGAAGCAGTAGACTTTAGAGTCTGGTCCTCGCTTATTTGCCTGTTGGGTTCTCCTAGGAATTTCCCAGCCACAGAGTGGAACAAGTGGTTGGACGAGCCTCCAGAGAACGTTTCTCTGCAGGGAGCTCTGGCTACCATATGGACTGAGGCTGATGGATCGTAGAATGAGTGCCACAAAGTACTTTTTAGACTATTCAGATGAGTTCCCTCATTTTTCCAGTAAAAAAAACACGATTTAGAAAAATGAAGTGAACTGTCTGGGAAATTTTTGCAGATAACCTACCTTTGCTTCTCTCAACAAGAAACAAGTGTAGGAAAGTGACCTAACATTTCTGTTACTCTGGGTTGGAAAAAACCAACAGGAAAACAGAAGTAATGAGAACTCTGAGCTGCCCGGGACATCGTGTGTAGAACCAGTTCTGCTCCACACAGCATTGCTGGAAGCGGAGGGGCGCCTGGCTGTGCCCTGCCCACACCACTGAGCTTGTGAGTATCCTGACTTTGAAGCATCCTGCCTCATTTGCAGGAAGCAATGCAGAGTCAGGTTGCTGCCAGCCCTGAGAGAGCCAACCCTGCGACCAACCCCATGACAGTGGCTGCTCCATTCATCTTCACCTCCGGAGAGGTGGTTAGCCTCGCCAGCCTTGTTTCTTCAGCCAGCACCAAAACAACCTCAGGTAATGTTCTGATAATGTTGCATTCATATTTGAGTCAAAAATGAACAGACCACCAGTATTTATAGAGATGAATGGAAACCCTGCCAAATATCCACTCCTTTATGAAAAATATCCTCCAAACAGGGCTGCAAGTAAAACTCAGTGATAAACCAACTTGTGCAAGGCTCTGGGTTCAATCCTCAGGAGCATAAAAAAAAATTCCCCAAACAAAAGATTTATAGTAGGTTTTTTTTTTTTTTCTTTTGAGACAGGGTCTTGCTATGTAATTCAGGCTGTCTTGAACTCACCATTACAGGTGTGTGCCAGCACACCCGGCTGAGATCTGCATGTTCCAAACAAAATTTGTGTGTGTGTGTGTGTGTGTGTGTGTGTGTGCTTGCGCACGCGTGTGTGTTTTTTTGTTTTTTGGGGTTTTTTTGGGGGTTGCCGGGGATCGAACTCGGGACCTTGTGCTTTCGAGGCAGGCACCGGAACCACTGAGCTAAATCCCCGGCCCATTTTTTCACTTTTTTTTTTTTTGGTACTGGGGATCGAACTCGGGTCTTTGCACTTGGGTAGCAGGCGGCGAAACCACTGAGCTAAATCCTCGGCCCTGTTTTTGGTTTTGGTACTGGAGATTGAACTCAGGACCTTCCGCTTTCAAGGCAGGCCGGGGCACCACTGAGCTAAATTCCCGGCCCCTTTTTTTGTTTTTTTTGAGATAGGATCTTGCTATATAGTCCAGGCTAGCCTTGAATTCACTGTGTAGCCAAGGCTGGCCTCGAATGCATGGTGATCCTCCTGTCTCAGCCTCCCAAGTGCTGGGATTACAGGCATGCACCAGTACATCTAGCCTTCAAGCAAAAAATTTTTTTGGTACGGAGGATTGAACTGGGGTCCTTGAGCTTGCACAGCAGGTGGCAAAACTATTGAGCTAAATCCCTAAAATTTTTTTTTAGTTTTGAGAGACAGGGTTTCTCCTGCCTCAGCCTCCCAGAGTACTGGGATTACAGGCATTTGCTACCACTCCTGGCTCTTTTGTTTTTTGTTGTTGTTGTTGTTTTTGGTTTTGATACTGGGGATGGAACTCGGATCCTTGGGGCTTGCGCAGCAGGTGACGAAACCACTGAGCTAAATCCCCAGCCCTGTTTTGTTGTTGTTAAGTTTTGACTTTTTCTTTTTTTGGTGGGGGAGGGTACCAGGGATTGAACTCAGGACCTTGTGGTTGGGAGGCAGCTGGTAGAACCACTGAGCTAAATCCCTGGCCCTGTTGTTTTGACTTTTATTTAAAAATAAATGACAGCTGGGTGGGGTGGAGCAGGCCTGTAATCCTAGCACTTTGGAAGCTGAGAAAGGAGACTCACTGTGAGTTCAAGGCCAGCCTGGACTATATAATGAGACTCTGTCCCAAAAATTAAAAAATAAAATTGGAATGTAATAATACCTACTTTATGAGGCTGTTGTTGATCTTTGAGATTTTGTGTTTCAGTATGTTTTGTAACAGGGCTTCAATAATGGTTATTAAATGAAAATATGACTTCTTTAAAGAAGGTTGACCCTGTTGTGTCCACAAGGGGGCAACAGTGACCTTCATTTTATAGGATATCAATAGTTTTAAAATCATTTTGCTTTCAGGGAAATGATTCAGAAATTTACCTTAAATATATGTACAACTGTAGTCAGAACATTCACAGTCTTTTGGATTTGTAGTGGTTCAAATCGCACTGATTAGAACAGTGTTTTGTTTTGTCTGTGGTACTAGGCCTCATGCATGACTGAGCTACACACCCAGCCCTAGCACAAGTGATTTTGTAGTGTAAAAGTTCTTAGAATCCAGTATTTCCCTGTTCAAAAAGCTCTGAAAAGAGCTAGAGTTGGTCATTAGTCCCACTACTGACATTGTCCGGATCTGATCATCTGGAGCGGTAATCAAAGTTGAATACATTCAGGAGTTTTTGCTTTGTGTGCTTGAGCCAACATTGTTTCTCACAGAGAGGTTGGCAGAGCTGCTCTTCTTTTCTCTCTGTGTCAACAGCTGAAAATTGAAATTGCTAAACATTACAACTAGAGGGCCAGGGATTTAAGCTCAGTGGTTCCGTCACCTGCCTCGCAAGCGCAAGGACCCGAGTTCAATCCCTGGTACCAAAAAAAAAAAAAAAAAAATTACAACTAGAACCCAACACCTGATCACTGTCCTCATGGAACAGCGCTGCCTCGCTGTCCTCCTTTATCTGATTGGCCTACAAATGCTAAGTCAGTACAGGTTAAAGGAAGGAGAAAAGTTGTAAGGCAGATTCACTTTGTGTGTTATTCAGTTGGGCTAAAAGATTTTTTTTTTCTGGAATGATGGGCTTATTTTCCATGATCCATTGTGTTCATTTGTTTATTTTCTTTTTTTTCTTGTTTTTATTTTTATGTTTTATTTTTTATTTTTTTTCATTTTTTTGGTACTGGGGATGGGGACCTTGTGCTTGCGAGGCAGGCAGCAGAACCACTGAGCTAAATCCCCGGCTCTCTTGTTTTTATTTTTAACTGGGAATTGAACCCATAGCCTTCATACTGAGGTACATTCCCAGCTTTTTTTTTTTTTTTTTTGAGACAGAGTCTAAGTTTCTAAATTTCCCAGGCTGGGCTTGAAATTGTGCTCTTCCTGCCTCAGCCTCCCAGGTTGCTGGGATTACAGACATGTGCCGCCACCACACCTGGCTTTAGTGTGTACTTTTGATGCCAAAATCTATACTGTAAAGTTTGCTTTCAAATTGTCCGTTTGTGACTAAGAATATTAGTCATCATCAGTGCCACCATCAAATTGCGGGGATTTGGGAGGGCAGACTAATTTAAACATTAATCAGGATAAAACAAACCTACAGAGATGAATTTCCTGTTTCAGCACAGTCTTAAAGTACATTTCATATGTACCTTTGTATTGGTTCATAGAGAACATGGACTTTGGAATCAGATGAATTAGGTTCTAATCTGGGCTTAGACGCTTACCAGCTGTATGACCTTGTGCAGGTTACTTAATTTTTCAAGTTGTAGTTTTCCTAACTCAATGAGATCACCTACCCTACCATAACACATCCTTCTACATCCTGGTCTGAAGAGTTTGGGCCAGGTGGAGTGGTATATTCTTATAATCTCAGCATTGAGAGGCCAAGGCAGGAGGAACAGGAGTTCTACACAGCGAGTTCAAGTCCAGCATGGACTATATAGCAAGACCCTGTCTCAAAAACCCTTCTGTCATAATTGAAGTAGATAATTACTGGTTCTCTCGTTAGTCCATTGTATCAGTGTTTGACATTTGATATCTGAAACTTCAGGTACTTAAGTGACCCTGAACTAGAGGTCAGGCCTGTTCTCACCTTTCTGGCATGGTGGAGCAAAGGAGCCTGTTGCCTGGCACTGATTAGTTTGGGCAGCTCTAGGTGCAGCTCTGGGCGCCAGCTGAGGGGTGGGCGAGACGGGTCTGTCAGCCACTGACATTGCAGTGCCAGAGAGTGATGGGGGAGGGGAATGTCTTAGCCCCTTGCCCATCACATTAATTTAATCCACTCTAGAGGAAAATATATTTAAACCTTCGGAGCCTTAACATCATGATAATTGGCTTATATCTGTTTGGATTAGAGAACAAGATTAAGGGGATTAGAGTGAAAAGCTGGAAGTTTTATTTAGCAAGCCATTTTCAGTTTACCTCAATTTATTCTCTCCACTGGGCCTCATTTACCTTTTTTACTGAAATAGGAGACCCCCATGCCTCAGCAGTACAGTTCTCAAATTCTACCACCTCAGTGCTGGCCACCCTTGCTGCCCTTGTTGAGGTGTCTGCCCCCTTCTCCAGCTCACACAGAGCCCCAGGTAGGTAAGGGAGGTCTGCTGGGTAAATTACCACTTTTTCTTTGTTTTTAAAGCCTCCAGCAGATTTAATTTGCATAAAATATTACAGAAGTGTAGTTAAGTAGGGACAGCTAAGAAGAGGACATGGAGTCAATGAATATCACAAACAAAAATAACCAAGAAATATTATCAGGCAGCTGAATAATACAACTGAGAAAATGACTGAGTTATTCCTTTGTATTTTTACAGTTTGAAGCTTGTTTGCTCTGATTACAGTTGCTTCAGGCTGAAATGTTTAGTCCTACATTAGTGGATTTTTTTAGGTGCTCTGCTATGTTTTGACTCATGCAATCCTAGAATGATTCAGAGTAGCAGCCTAGGTATCTTAAGTTGGTTTTTTTTGGGGGGGGGTACGGGGGATCGAACTCAGGTCCTTGAGCTTGCGAGGCAGGCGTCGGAACCACTAGTTAAATCCCAGGTCCCAGCCTAGGTATCTTGTATTGTATTATCAAAATACACAGAACAGGGCTGGGGATTTAGCTCAGTGGTGCTGCCACCTGCTTCGAAAGCGCAAGGTCCGGAGTTCGATCCCCGGTACCAAAAAAATTCACAGAACAGCCGCCTCCCACACTGTCAGCACCTGTGTATTTAAGTGTGGCCTTGCTTTTATTTTCACTGAAGGTGTTATTTTGCCATTTCCAGTGGAGATGGCAGGTGTAAGTTATGTAAGGGTCTTCTGATACTTAAGTTTTCAAGGCTCTTAGCCACGGGTAGTGAAGGAAAGCCTAGGCTTCACATAGGTAGGGCACACAGTCGTAGGTGGGCCTCAGTAGATGTCTAGAAATCTTTTTGGAACCCACTACAGTTGCTCCAATTTCCAAACAAAATCACATTGCTCCACTTTTTTTCTGCCTTTGACGTTTGGGTGATGAGAACATTTCTCCAATTCCAGTCCTGTTTTTCTGACTAGCAGTAATCATAGAAGTGTCTACACAGACACGTGTGAGTGAGTGGCATGGCAGAGAAAAGCAGTACATTAAACTTCTCTTTGCTGTTCTTTTAGTTTGCTCTTTGATCTGGGACAAATCATGTAACTTCTCCAGGTCTTTAGTGTCTTCGTCTTTGGCCTGATAGTTGGATTACAGTATCTGGAAGGCCTTTCAGCCATTATATTTAACTGTTCTTTGATTTTAAGAGATGTGGATGCTTATTTCCAGTGAACTTCCTCAGTGCATCTCAGATGCATGGTCCATACCCCAGTTCTTATTGTAAAGTTCTACCTGCACCTCTTTTTTTTTTGGTACCAGGGATCGAACTCAGGACCTTGTGCTTGTGAAGCAGGTGGCAGAACCACTGAGCTAAATCCCTAGCCCCTACCTGCACCTCTTTAGGGAGAGAAATTCCATAATGATGGGAATTGTTTCCTCTAATAGTGCTTGGTTTATTGAGGTATTGACTAATCAAACTGAATATCTTCTTTCAATATAACACACATAAAAGCCTTCGACAGGTACCTGGAATACAGTAAATAGGCAGTAATTATTAGCTCTACTACTATTATTGTTGTCAGTGGGAAGGGTCACCTACCACAATTGTCTGTCAAATGTCAATGACTTGACCAATCGACATGTTATTTTGTTAATTCACTGTTAAATGTCTCTAGGGCTGGGGATTTAGCTCAGTGGTTCCAGCACCTGCCTCAAAAGTGCAAGGTCCTGAGTTAGATCCCCGGTACCAAAAATAAATAAATAAATGTCTCCATTTTTTTAAAAGAAATGATCTATTCTAATTTATTTTTTTTCTAAATTTCAGATTTTTTAGGCTTTTAAGATTCTCCCTAAGTACTACTCTGCCATAAAGAAGGATAAGCTTACGACATTCTAGCTAAATGGATGCACCTTGAGACCATACTCTTTAAGTGCCATAAATCGAACACACGTTTAAATACTGCATTGTTTCTCCGGCGTGAGAAACCAAAAGTGGAAATAAGGACTAAAATGTACAACAGACATTGAAATAGGAAGAAAGTGTTCAAATGAGAAGGGGAACAAGGGTGGGAGGAGGGAGAAAGGAAGGAAGGGACAAGAGAAAAAAGAGAAAATCAAAGGAAAAAATGGAAACAAAGCTTTTGTACTTAAGGGAGGGGGTAATGGGGAAGAAAAGAAGAAGCAAGATATATCATGTTCTGGTACAAATTCCCTATGATGAATGTTACTATTATGTATATCTAAAATGTACCAATAGAGGTTTTGCTAAAAAAAGGGAAAAAAAGCTTCTTCCTAAAAAAGGTTCTAAGATGAGCATTTTGATGCACACCTATAATCTCAGCCATCTGGGAGGCTGAGGTGAGAAGATCATAAATTCAAACCCAGCCAGGACAATTTAATGATTTAGGAGACCCCCTGTCTCAAAATAAAAAATGGCTGAGGACATAGCTCATTGCCAAGGCCCTGAGTTCAATCTCTGATACCACTAAAAGAGGGGGTTGAAGATCAAATAATTGGGGAAACTCAAGATATCCTATATACTGCAGGAGACTCGCAGTGCTCATTAGCTTATTGAAACTTCTGGTGCTTCCTACAAAGCAAAATGAAGTGTAAGCATATTTAGACTTGCCTTTTGTAAACATCCTTATATGTGGAACCCATCTTCATGAAAAGCTATTAACATCTCAGTGAAGACATTTTAGAAAATATTGTTGTAATTTATTCCCTATTTTGTTTTCTCCCTTGACTTAGCAGTGTTCACAAAAGCTTTTGTAAACTGTTGAATATTTTTTATTTTCAGTTTTTCCTCTCCTTGAATAGCCTCAATTTAGAGGATGAAGCCGCTGTCCTCCTACTTTTTAAAGAGCTGAAATATTAAATTTACTTTCATTATCTCTAGCCAATCCAGAGGAAATCACAGAGGGCGATTCTATTGACTCATCAATCCAGCAAGCAGTGGGGAGTGGAGGCCAGAGAGTCATCACCATAGTGACTGATGGGGTCCCTCTGGGTAACATCCAAGCCGCCATCCCTGCTGCAGGCCTGGGCCAGCCACTTATCGTAACTGTGCAGGACGGACAGCAAGGTGAGTGATTCCCTGGGAGACAGCTGCTCATTAGAAGATGCCATTAGGACAAATAGTAGGAATGAGAAAATCCCGGATGCGAGATGAGCAAATAAACCCTGAAAAAGAAAAAGAGGATGAGTGTGGTGATGCCCACCTGTAATCCCAGCACTCAGGAGGCTAAGGCAGGAGGATCGCTATGAGTTCAAGGCTACCCTGAACTACAGAGACCCTGTCTCAAAAAAAAAATCATATCGTATGTAACTTTATATTTTTTGTTTGGTTGGTTTTTTTGGTGGTGCTGGGAGTGGCACCCAGGCCTCAGGTATGCTTAGGTAAGCAGTCCACTAACTGAGCTACCTAGCTCAGTATTTAAACCTTTGAGATTGGCTTTTTTAAAAAAAAAAAAAAGACAGTCTTGCTATGTAGCCCAGGCTGGTCTTGAACTCTCAGCCTTCTGAGTTCCGGGCTTACAGGCATGCACTATCATGCCCAGCTTTGAGATTGACCTTTTCACTCAGCATAATTCCCTTAAAATTCATCCAAGTTGTTCTTCATACCAATAGTTTTTTCCTTTTTCCTTTTTTGCCAGGCGTAGTAGCACACACTTGTAATCCTAGTACTTGGGAGGCTGACACAGGTGACTCCCTGGGACTTCAAGGCTAGCTTGTGTTACACAGTGAATTCAAGGCCATCCTGGAATACGTAGGAAGATCCTGTCTCAAAAAAACAAAAAGAAAAATTTATTCCTTTTTATTGCTGAATACTATTCCATGGGTGTATATACTACAGTTTGTTTAACTATTTACCCACTGATGACATTTGAATACTTTCCAGTTTTCGACTGAGAATAAGGCTGTTATGAGCAATCATGTACAGGTTTTTATGGGATATATACCCAGGTATGTAATTGCTGGGTTGTACGGTAAGTGCATGTTTAGTTGTAAGAAGCTGCGTAACTATCAACCAAGCATGGTGATGCATGCCCATAATCCCATTGCTTTGGGAATCTGAGGCAGGAGAATTGCAAATTCAAACCCAGCCTAAGGAATTTAGTGAAACCCTATCTTAAAACATAAAAAGAATTTGGGATGCTGTTCACTGTGAAGGTCCTGAGTTCAATCCTCAGTACCACACACACACAAAAAAAGATAAACTACTGAACTACTTTCTAGGGTGGCTATGCCATATTACATTCCTACTTAGCAATTTATGAATAATCCAGCTTTTTCTACATCTTCTCCAGGATGAAGTATTATTATTTAAAAAAATTTGGGGGGGGAATTCCAGGGCTGGGGATGTGGCTCAGTGGCCTGGCAAGCAAAAGGTCCTGAGTTCAATTCCCAGTACCAGAAAAAAAATTGTTTTTGATTTTTTGGCATTCCAGTAGGTGTGCAGTATGTGTTGTGTTGTGTTGTGTTGACCCTCTCACTTCTATGAGAAGAGAACTCTTTTTGGTATTGTTAATGGCTAATCCCTTTCATTAGAGGTTTCTTAATCTTATATGAAGTCTTCTGCCTCTCCTTCCTTCATCTTTCCTTCCTTTCCTGTTTGTTTTTTGTTGTTTTTTTTTTTTTGGTACCGGGGATCGAACTCAGGTCCTTGCGCTTGCGCAGCAGGTGGTGAAACCACTGAGCTAAATCCCCGGCCCTCCTTTCCTGTTTGTTTGTTACTGACGATTGCACCAGGGCCTTGTGCATAGTAAGCATGTGCTCTACCTTTGAGCTTTACCAATGGTATAGCTTTAGGTCTTTTGACTTCTTTAGGCAGGTTATTTTTGCAGAATTAGTAAGCTAAATGGTCATAGCTGCTGACCTGGTGTCAGATATCTTTCTGTTTTTTTTTCTTTTGGTACCAGAGATCGAACTTGGGACCTTGCGCTTTCGAGGCAGGCACCAGAACCACTGTGCTAAATCCCCGGCCCAGATATCTTTCTATTAGCGCCTCAGGCCTTGGATTTATCTTCACGATTCTGAGCCTGAAATCTGTACCCTTCTTCTCTGAGCCCTTCTAAGTGCCTCTTTAATCCTTTGTTTCTCTCTTCAGGGAATTGCTTACCTTACCTTTGATTCTGAAATTCAAAGAATATGAAAAACAGTATATCAGCCAGGCATTTAGCTCAGGGGCACCGTGCCTGCCTCGAAAGTGAAAGGTCCTGAGTTCAAGCCCCGGTACCACACACACACACACACAAAAACTGTGTCAGAATATATTTCACTTTATTTTCTAGTTAGAAGCAAGCAAAACCTCTTTGTTTTACTGTGTACCCATCACCTCTAACTGGTGTCCTTTGGCTTGTAGTTCTAACTGTACCTGCTGGTCAGGTTGCAGAGGAAACTATGATTGAGGAGGAAGAGAAAGAAGCAGAGAAGTTACCATTGACAAAGAAACCAAGGATGGAAGCGATGACAAATAGTGTGGAGGAAAGTAAGGTAATATTATTTTTAGCATTAAGAGCGAAGAAAAAGGCAAGAATCAAAAACCATAAGTATTAGGGCCGGGGATTATTTAGCTCAGTGGTTCCAGCGCCTGCCTCGCAAGCACAAGGTCCCGAGTTCGACCCCCAGTACCAAAAAAAAAACCCAAAAAAACCCCATAAGTATTAAGGCCTTCTTCATCCTTTTTATTTTCTGGATGATCTGAGATCAGGAATTCTTACCCAGTGATGACATGGTTTACTTTTCAGGAGGGCAGTGAAAGAGAGTTACTACAGCAGCAACTCCAGGAGGCCAATCGAAGAGCCCAGGAATACCGGCACCAGCTCCTAAAGAAAGAGCAGGAAGCAGAACAGTACCGCCTTAGGCTGGAGGCCATGGCCCGACAACAGCCCAATGGAGTTGATTTCGCCATGGTTGAAGAGATAGCTGAGGTAGATGCTGTAGTAATCACAGAAAGAGAGGAGGAAGAGGGAGAAGCAGAAGTGACTAGGTCAGGAGGTACCACAGAGCCTCATGCTGGAGTTTCTCTGGAAACTGTTTCTTCCTAACATGCAAGATCCACAACTTGCATTCTGTTCATCTTCCTCTTTTAAGAAGAAAATACAGCTGGGCTTGTTGGCACATACCTGTAATCTCAGCTACTTGTGAGGCTGAGGAAAGAGGATTGAAAGTTTGAGGCCAGCCTGCACAACTTAGTGAGTCCCTGTCCCAGAAAAGGGCTGGGGTGTAGCTCAGTTGCAGAGTGCTTGGCTAGTGTGTACAAGGACCTAGGTTCGAACCTTACTACCACAAAAGGAGGAGAAAATAATGCAGAGGGTAAATACTATAAAAACTGAGTGTCTTTGAGAAGAAAACTGTAGGCGGGAGGTGAAGCTCAGTGGTAGATACTTGCCTTTCGGGTACAAGGCCTGGGTAGGACCCTCAGCACTGAAAACAAAAACACCAAACTACTATACCAGGGAACAGTGCTTGGGCCCAGGAAGGCTCTGTATGCAACTGGAAAGTTCAAAGTCATATTTAATGAATAGTTTTTCTAAGGGACCAAAAAGTAAAGACCAAATTTCTCAGTTCACATCACTGCTTTAAGCATATAGAGTGTTGATACTGTGGGTTGATTGTTTTTTAAATAACTGACTTTTTATTAAAGCTTTTTGAGATAATATTCCTAATACATATATACCAGGCGTCTAATAATTATAGCATCAAGTGACCTGAAAATTTGCCTTAAATTTACGAAACTAATCAGGAGGGAGCTTAGAAGTGGGCTTTGGGGAAGAGAACGGGACAGAATATTCTACTTCCAAATGAGCAGCACTCCCAGCTATCCTGAGTTAATTTCATTGAAGAGAAATTTAATGCTCCTTTACAAATTTGTGTTCATTATGTGTCTGTAGCTCTGGTGCCAATTTACGAAACAAAAATAGCTGGGCATGGTTGTACATACCTGTAATCCCAACTGCTAGGGAGGCTGAGGCAGGAGGATTGGAAATTAACGGCCAGCTTGTGCAACTTAGGGAGACCGTGTTTCAAAATAAAAAAGACTGAGGATGTAGCTCAGTGGTAAAGCACCCCTGGGCTCAACACCTAGTACCACCAAAAAGAAAGAGATGAGGCTGTGCTCAGTTGTAGAGTGAGTGTGGGTGCTTAGCATACATGAGGTCAAGGAAAAAAGAAAAAGTTGAATTTAGAGCCAGGGATATGGCTCAGTGACATGGCACCTGCCTGGCAAGCTCAAGGCCCTGAGTTTGATTCCTGGTACCAAAAAAAAAAAACCTCAGAAGCTCAGGAGGCTGAGGCAGGATCACTGCCTGGGCTACACAGTTCAAGTCCATAGTGAGTTCAAGTCCAGCGGGAACTACATAGTGAGACCCTGTCTCAAAAAAACCTAGATAGTAAACTTGTTTGTGAGGTAGAAGTGGATATAAAACCCAAATCCCCAGGCTGTTTTTCCAGTGCTGGAAAGTGGCCAAAAAGAGGTTTACAGGGAAGGCTATGAAACTCCTGCCCAGTCTGCCCTCGCTCTGGGAACTCACCTCCCCTGAGCTCAGGGAGGGCCCTGTTAGGGCCGCTATTGGCCATAGTCTCAGACCTTCCCAAGGGCCGTAGAAGAGTGACGTGACACACTCAGTTTGTAGCCCCACTGATGAGCTCCCTCCACCCCAGGGCTATGAAACTCTGGGCCTGAGATACTGACTTTGCACTGGCTGGATTTTATGGAATTGCAGTCAGGAGGGTGTCTGTTGTCAGAACTACTCACTTCCAGACATTTATATAATATCAAACTCAGGCTCTTTAATTTTATAAGACCTTGTTGAATTTTTTGTGTCACTTAGGACATTGGCTTTTCTGTGTAGCTTCCATCCTTTAAATGCAAGAAGAAAAAAGGAGGGACAGTTTTATTTCTGTTGATTTAGGGTGAGTAAACTGCTGTTTGGTAAGCTTGGGCCTGCAGAGCCCTGTGCTGCAGTGCGGACACAGGAGGAGCAGCTGCCTGTGCCACACAGTAAGGACTGAAGTCGGCCACGCCGGTGCCTCCCTGCCTGGACACGGCAAGTGTTTCACTGTGGGGTTTCTTTATCTGTCAGCACCAAGGGTGTTGGGGTGGGGAGGGTGTTGTGAGAGGTTACCTCCCTGAGGCCACTGCCCTTGAAGTTGGCCTTCATCGTTCTAGACTTGCTTGCTTGCCTGCTTCGTTATAAGTTAGCAGAAGAAACCACAGGGACATGTGCCCAGTAAACATCTGAATGACTGTTTAGAACATGGGTTTCTTCATTGTCGATCATGAGGAAAACATGCATTCTGGGGGGAAAAACTTGACAATTAACATGGTTCTGTCTGCCATGATTAGTACTTTGCTACCATGTTCTAGAGGTACAGCCTCATTTGGGGCTCAAAATAGACTGAAAATATAATTCCCCAAACCAGATTTAACCAAGAGAATTTGCCGTTAGAAGTTTTGAAATTAATCCTGGCTCCTGGCTACGTTGGGTCTGAGTACCCAGCACTCTGCAGATGATTGGAGATTGTTCTGGGGAGGAGAGGATGACAGAAATGCAGAAGAACCCAGAGGAGGTAGCGCTGAAACTGGTCTCTGCTCTCAGGTCCCCATTTGCAGTCTTTTTCTCTTTTGGCTCCTTTTGGGAACCAGGTGCCAACAATAGGCTGCTGTCCATTGCATTTCAGATCCTTGGCTTAACTATCGAGGGACCAAGTATCATTTTGGATGTCTTTTATGTTCCTGGTGCATATGGTGACTTTAATCCCCCAACCCGATCATGGGTGGAAATTTTTTTTTTTTTGGAGAAAGGTTCTCGGTATTATTTTGGCTTGACCTTGAACTCACTATGTAGCCCAGGCTGGGCTCAAACTTGTGGCGATCCTCCTGGCTCAGCCTCCAGAGTGGGGGAAATGTCCATCTAATACTTCCTTCTAAGCACACAGCGTCCCATTTTGGGGGAACCGTTTAGGAGTTCTCATTACTCTTTCTGGAGCTTATCTTCCCTCCCTTTGCCCCAAAAATCTCTAATGCAGGCCATCAATCTTGATGATGGGGCTTTGTCAGAGGAGAGGCTCGGAAGGGAAGGAGAGAAGGGCAGTGACAGAAAAGGGCTGAGCAGGAAAAGGGAGTTCATTTTCACTTACTTGGACTAGTCCTGGTCTCATGCCAGAGGACGAAAATAGGATTTGATCTTCAGTTACCTTGCCATGTAGGTCGGATGCTTTGAAACAGTTAGAAACGAAATACTGAATGCATTACTGTGGCACCATTTCCTGATTTTGCATATCTTTATGGATCAGTCGTGAAAGTTGGACAAACATGGCTTAGATGTGGGTTGGCCAGTTTACTGGCAAGACTGGATTATTACAAATCAAATAGCACAAGTTTTTGGAGTTGGTGCTAGAGCCGGAGAGACTTGGAGCTTAGGATGGCTGTTTATTTTAAGATAAAGCCGCATCAGCAGTATCGGTATTAATGTCAGGGATTTCAGAATCTGGCTTTGCACTGTGGTCTTATGCCTTTCCCCAAGAAAAAGAAAAATTGTATTTCTGTTCTTATTCCTAGCTTCAGGGAAATTAACTGTAAATGTCTAAGTGTATGCTCCCTTCCTGTCACTAACTCTGTAAAGGGATCTTCTAATTGTCTTTTTTTTTTGGTACCAGCATTGAACTCGGGTCCCTGTGCTTGCATAGCAGGCGGTGAAACCACTGAGCTAAATCCCTGGCCCCAGGGTTTTCTATGTTTTGAACTCAGTGCCTTAAAAGATGTTATTTTAGCTGGTGTGGTGGCACATGCCAGTAATCCCAGCACTCTGGATGCTGTGGCAGGAGGATCGCCACAAGTTCAAGGCCATCCTGGACTACACAGTGAGATCCTGTCTCAAAAACAAAACAGGGCCTTGGGCCTGGGATTTAGTTCAGTGGTTCTGCCGCCTGTCTCGCAAGCTCAAGGACCCCAGTTCCATCCCCAGTACCAAAAAAAACCCCAAAACAAAACAAAACATGGCCAACGATTTAGCTCAGTGGTTCCAGCACCTGCCTCCCAAGCCCAAGGTCCTGAGTTCGACTGGTGGTACCAAAACAAACAAAAAGATGTTCTTTTTCTGTCAGATATACAGTTATTTTTTACTTTGCATTGCCCTCTTCTTCAGGCTCACTCCTGCATCATTAAAATTTTTGTGTCTTATTAATGTAACAAAACGACGTTTTCTTCTTTGTTGGTACCAGGGATCAAGCTCCATTCCTTGCGCTTGCAAGGCAGGCAGCGGAACCACTGACCTAAACCCCTAGCCCAAAATGACTTTTTCTTTATATCTGTGTAAAAGAAATGATTCTACCAGAGGTCTCTTCAGTTGAAGTTGTGTTGTTATGACCAGGGTAGTTTTTATACATTGTTTCTAGGTATATGTTAGTATATGTTTGTAAATCTTTGAAATTTTTTTTTTGTTTTTTTGTACTGGGGATTGAACTCAGGACCTTGTGTTTGCAAAGCAGGCGCCGGAACCACTGAGCTAAATCCCCGGCCCATGAAATTTTTCTACTTTTAACTTTGAGGTTCAGCTGTAAAATACTTGGTATAACCTGGAAAAGGTTTCTGCCAGGTGTGGTGGCACACACCTGTAATCTCAGCACTTGGAAGGCTGAGGCAGGTGGATTGCTCCAAGTTTGAGCCCAGCCTGGGCTACACAGTGAGACCTTATCTCAAAAAAAAAAAAAAAGAAAGAAAAGAAAAAGAAGAAAAGAGAGAGAAAAGGTTTCTTTGGATTCAGTGAATGGGTTGGAGAAGAAAAAAGCATTACTTTGCCCTTATCTGAGAAATGTGCTTTTGCAGATTGGGGCAGGGCGGGGGGGACAGAGCTGGCTTTAAAGGCGGTCTGTTTAGCAGGGAGTGTGGTGACATCACATGTGCCACATCAGCCGCAGAGACCAGCAGTCCTTTCACACCTGCGGAAGCGATTGGCCTCACACCTCTGAATAGAAAAGAAACTCCAGATAAAGGGCCATGATGGAAGGACTTGGCATTCCACACATCTGCTTTCCTAGGGTAGAAATCACATCGTTTAGAGGAAGTCGTTCTGAGAGCTTGTGTAACTCTGCTGACGACACTGGGGACCTTTGAGGTGGAAGGTGGGAGGCGTTTAGTGACCTCTTCCTGGAAGAGATCCTGAGTGTGAAGGAGTTTTTGTCCTGATTTATTGGAGAATGGCTTCCTAGTCCCCGCTCCTCCTGCCGCCCCAGCTCTGGGTGACTAGGAGGGGAGGTTGCAGACTGAACGCATCCCACATGGCGAGGCCGAGTAGGCTCTTGGCTGCTCCATTTTACAGAGCTGTTGCCCCCTTCTGAGTTAGCACTGTTTCCTGTGCCAGTTTATTTAGAGACCAGGAGCAAGAAGGATGTGAATTAGAATTAAATAGCTTCGTGCCTCTGCTGCTGCTACAGCTTTTTTTTTTTTTTGCCTTTAGGATGAGGGGGCCAGTGAGGTTCTGACTCTGTAGCAGCTGGGCTTGTTAATAGCAGGGAACTGATTCCCTGTCTCTCTCTCCCTTCCTTTGCCTCCACTCTGGCTTCTATGATGCCGATGCCGCTGTTCTCCCTGAGTCTTTTGGGGCAGTAGGACTTATCAGTAGGTCATTTCTAATCGCGGGCCTCATCCTCCCTTCCTCCCTCCACTCACAGATTTTGTTTATTCCAGTGCGGTTTGTTTTTGAGAATCCCAGGTCATATCCTCTCCAGCTGTGCTTCCCAGTTGGCTTCAAGGATCTTGCTGTCTCCATCGATGCCAGCAGCTCTCTCCTGCTGCCTACCAAGGCCACGGCTGGGGAGAGGTAGATTCTTCCCACAATGTCCTGTTTTACAGGTTGCCTGACAGCTTTATGTACAGTGTGTAATTAGGAAAATTTAAATATACATCTTTTATTGAGGGTGCAGTTTGACTCTTATGAGCAAGTTTGTGTATGAGCATTTATATGTATATATACCTATAAAGATCTATATTATATATACAATTTTGTACTATCATTTAAATAAAGATGTTTCTTAATAAAATGTCAAAGTCACATCTCAGTATCGCTGAGTTCATTTTTCATCTCTTAGGTAAAAATCAGTATCACTCTGATCTTCTATCCTCTGCTTTTTCCTTATCTAGCTGTCCTTTTCAGCCCAGTATTCTTGATAAGAAGAGCAAGTTCAGGTAAGAATTGAAGTGAGAAGCCAGCATAGTGGTGCATGCCTGTAATCCCAGCACTTGGGAGGCTGAGGCAGGGGGATCCCCAAGTTTGAGGCCAGCCTGTACTACACAGTAAGACCCTGTCTCAAAACATCAAACAAAACTGAAGTGAAGTGAAAACAAGAAATTTTTTTGCTCTATTTTGAGAAGATCTCAGTATACAGTCCAGGTTTGCCTTGAACTCTAACTCACAATACGGCCCAGACTTGGCTCAAACTTGGGGCCATCTTCCTGCCTCAGCCTAAGTGCTGGAGTTACAGGCATGTGTCCCAATGCCCAGCCTGAGAGAGCTTTTGACTGTTAAATGTACATTTTACATTCCCCTCCCTCCTCTGAACCCTATCCCTTTCTAAAAGCAAACAACCAAGGGTGGAGGAGAGTAGCTGAAGGAAGTTACTCTGTGTCTTGTGTGAGAATCAGTGACGAGATGGAGTGGAAACACCAGGCTCAGGGAAGCTTGGAAGAAATGGATTTGTTCTGCGGGCTTCTCAGCTATTCTTCATTACTAAGGTGTTTGCTCTCAGTCCACATTGAGTGCGTTTAGAAGTAGATACAAGGAGCAGTCTGGGAGGAGGAGTGCAGTGCCCACCGATGGCCAGGGCTGAGCAGACCAATCAGCCTCCTGGAGATGCCCTCGTCCACTGCAGTCCTCAGAAGGGCTCCTCTGTGTGCGCATGCGTGCGGACATGGTGTGCTACCCAGTACTGAGCCCAGGGCTCACACGTGCTATGCAAAGTGCCTCTCCTCTGAGCTACTTCTCCAGCCCCAAATGCCTTTCTTTTAAAAAGTAGGAGTGGGACGTGGTTGATGGTGCACTCTTGTAATCCCAGCAGGAGGCTGAGGCAGGAGGCTCTCCATGAATACGCCACTAGCCTGTGCTACAGTGAGTTCAAGCCCAGGCGGAACTACATAGCAAGACCCTGTCTCCAAAAACAAAACTGTTTAAAAAGTAAAATTAAATACTAGTTTCTCTTAGTTCTTGAAGAGAAAGTTTTGTGCTGTTATCTTCTTTGTAAGAGAATCTTTTTGTCTGTGTCTTGTATTCTGAGTACTTTGAAGATGATAGTGTTTAATAATAGCTATATTGTTACGCTCTTATTTTATGAAATTTTATGTTTTTCATAAAATAATTATTTTTAAAAACTAAAATTAAAAAGTAAGATTGACACCCAGGCCAAAGACATGTAAACATCTGTGTTCAACAAATATGATTTCAAAGGCAGTGTTTAGGAAACTGAACACCTACATTATTACATGTAGAAGGGCTTTTTGGTAAGTACCAATGGTCAGCAAATACTGCACACATATTATTTACAGGGTACTTCTGGCAGGAACCTCGCACATGTATATACAGTCTGTGCTGTGCTGAAGAAAAAACAGCAGGCACCTGGGAGTTTTGAGAAGCAAAGAACTAAGAGTCTTGTTGAATTGAAATTCTAATGAAAAGTAGGCATGGTGGCACACACCAGTAATAGCACTATTGGAGGCTGAGATAGGATCACAAGATCAAGGTCAGCCTCAACAATTTATCAAGCTGGACATGGCGGCACACACCTGTACTCCCAGCACTGAGGAGGCTGAGGCAGGAGGATCTTTCTGAGTTCAGGCCAGCCTGAACTACATAGCAAGACCATGTCAAAAACCCCAAAAAACCAGGGTTGTAGCTCAGTGATACAGCACCTCTGCATTGGATCCCCAGTAATGAAAACCAATGGGCCAGGAACACGTGCTTAGTATGCACAAGACCCTGGGGTCAACTCCTTGCACTGTAAACATTTTTTTGGGGGGGGTACCAGGGATTGAACTCAGGACCTTGCGCTTGCAAGGCAGGCAGCAGAACCACTGAGCTAAATCCCCGGCCCTCCTTGCACTGTAAAGAAGAGAGGGAGGGGACAAGGGAGGCCCTGGTGTATTAAAGGCTTGGTCCCCACACAGCAGCATTCAGAGGCAGCGCCTAGAGGTGATTGGATCAAGAAGGCAGTGTCCCCACTGCTGCACTGCTGAGTTCACAGCTGAGTGGGGCCAAGGAGATGGGGCCTAGCTGAAGGGCGTGGGCCATGGGGCATGATCTTGGGGACTGTATCTTGTCCCCAGCCATTTTCTCCTCACACTCTGCTTCCTGGCCACCATGAGGTGAGCCGCTTTCCTCCCCTAAGGCCCTTCTGCCTGGATGGTCCAGCCTCATCCCAGGCATACAGCAGATGAGCCAGCTGACCACGGACTGGAACCCCTGAAACCGTGAGTTGAAATAAACCTCTCATCTCCCAGTCGCTGTTCTCAGGAATCCCATAATGGTGAAGAAAAGCTGGCCATCAGAGCCGTTCGCACAAGCTCCCCACAGTAGATTTTCCAAAGCGAACTGAGGGCCATCTGCGTAGCACTGCTGATGCCCTCTGAACAGGAGAGGTGAAGGTAACCTCAGGGGTGACGGAACTTGACATAGCCTTCCTTCCAGAGAGCCCTCCTCCTCCTCCGCACCTCTGCCCTTTGCTGGGAGGCTGACGCTGTGACCTTCATCAGGGGTTTCAGCACCGCTGCTCCCACTGCATTCAGCCAACAGGGAGCCCTGGTGGGCAACTGGGAGAAAACACTGAAGCCAGTGTACTGGCCTCCTGCGTTCCCTCCCACGAGCTCCCCTCCACCTGGCCTCGCGCCAGTCGCTGCTTCACTAAGGGCATCAACATCCCAGTCACCACCACCTCTCCTTTCGTCTTTTTTTCTCGGTACCAGGGATCGAACTCAGGACCTTGAGCCTGTGAGGCAGGCGGTGGCGCCACTGAGCTAAATCCTCTGCCCTACCTTCCTCTTTTTAAGTCTAGGCTATTACTGAACTCCAGCTACCAACTCATCCTGTGCCCCTCCCCTTTTTGTTGTTTTGAAAGTGTCACTATGTAGCCCACACTGGCCTCAACCTCATGGTGGTCCTCCTGCCTCAGCCTCCTAAGTGCTGGGATCACAGGCGTGTGCCACCATGCCCAGCAGGTGCCCACATACTTTAAAAAATTGCCCTTCAAAAAAAACATAGCCCTTCACCAGGCATAGTGGTACACACCTGTCAGCCAGCACTTGGGAGGCTTAGGCAGGACGATCACTTCGAGTTCCAGGCCAGCCTGGACTACACTGTGAATTCAAAACCATCCTGAACTACATAGTAAGACCCTATCTGGAAAAAAAAAAGCCCTTCATTCTTCTGAGTATATTTTCTCTACTGGGACCCTGTCTGATACATCTGGTGAAAGTACGTAATCTCCTGGTAATATTTTATCCATGTGGCTGGGCATGGTGGCACACACCTCTAATCCCAACTACCCAAGAGGCTGAGGCAGGAGGGTTGCAAGTTCAACCCCAGCCTGAATTACATAGTGAGACTCTGTCTCAAAAAAACAGAAATAGGGCTGGGGATTTAGCTCAGTGTTACCCATGTCTGCCTTGGAAGTACAAGGTCCTGAGTTTAATCCCTGGTAGGAAAAACAAAACAAAAATAAATACATAAAATAAAATGGCTGGAGATGTAGCTCAGTGCAAAGGCTCAGGGTTGAATCATGTGTTAAAAAAAAATGACCCATGTATTGAATTTTACTCTTATAAATACGATCTTAAATTCTCTGAATCAACACAGAGGCCGACTGCTGGGTAACGTAACCAGACCTGTGTGGCTCCTAAGCATGGGATGGTGGCATTAAGGAGCCACAAACTGGAGAGACAGTGACAGCCCAGGCCCGACTCACCCTCCAAAGAACTCAGGATGCTAAACAGCTTGTCAGAGCTCTGTGACCGTGGAACCTTCTGCATTTCAGTTCCCCAGAGCATCACACAAGCTGACACTGCCTGCTGGGGCCAGTTTCTCCACAACCTCCGAATGCCTGAGAGGCAGCTTAGAGATCCCCAGGGTGACAGCTCTAGCCTCCTGTTGGCATATTCAGGTTTTCTAAAGACTTGCTGTTTTAGCTAACGTTCTGATTTTTAAAAATTAAAAACAGTAGCCAGGCATTGTGGTGCCAGAGGAGCTTAGGGCCAAGAATTGAAAGTTCAAGTCCAGCTTGGGCAATTTAGACCGTTTTTTGGTTTGGTTTTGTATTGTTTTTGTAATACTGAGGCTTGAACCTAGGACCTTCACGCTGAGGTACATTCCCAGCTTTCAAAAAAATTTTTTAAATTTTGAGACAATGTCTGGGTAAGTCATTAAATTGCCCAAGATGAAGGGCCGGGGATTTAGCTCAGTGGTTCCACCACTTGGCTCGCAAGCACAAGGTCCCGAGTTTGATCCCCAGTACCAAAAAAAAAAGAAAATTGCCCAAGATGGGCTCAAACTTGCAATCCTGATCCTCCTGCCTCAGCCTCCCAGAGTGCTAGAATCATAGTTATGAGCCACAGACCTTGTCTTAAAAATTCATTTATTTTCTGAAACAGGGTCTCACTATATAGCCTCAGCTAGCCTTGAATGAGGCAATCTTCCTGCCTCAGCCTCTCAAGTGCTAAGACTATGGGTGTGTGCCACTATACCAAGCAGTCTTAACATTTTAAAAAAGGATTGGGTATGTAATTCAGTTGTACAGCACTTACTGTGCATGAGGCCCTGTGTTCAATCCCCAATGCAGGAAAAAAAATCAGATTCCTTAATTGAGGTCACATTCACCCCTCTTCTGTCAGTAATAATTATTTCTTTGAATACATCCCCTTAATTTATCATTCACTGTCAGGAAGAGGTTTCTCATGGGTATTAATGAATTATATTCTTGCTGGTGGCCTACATTATTTTGGTTTTCCATAAAAGACTTAAACTTGAGCCAGATGTGGTGATACACTCCTGTGATCCCAGCACTCAGGAGGCTGAGGCAGGAAGATTGCTGTGAGTTTGAGGCCAGCCTGGGCTCCAAAGTGAGTTCAAGACGAGCCTTAAGTATACAGTGAGACCCCGTCTCAAACAAACAAACACACACTCATATTTATGTCCTGGTTTACATATCCTTGTTGGCATACATTCTTTGCATTCCTAAATAAAGGAACAGGTAAGTTGAGTTACCCAGGACACATGCAAAACGAGCAGCAGAGTCCAAGGACTGTTCCTCTCACTGCAACTGCTTCTACTAGCTGAGAGTCCAGCTTAGACACTTCTGGCAAGAGAAGTCACCATACTTTCATAAATATTAATGAAGAAACTTGCTTTATCATTAAACTATTCAGGCCTTTAACCTGCAAACTACTGCTGCCTGCACTCACAGGATTACCTTTCTAATGTATGTATAATTGGTCCTTTATACCCACTGACTCCACATCCATGGAGTCAACCAACTGCAGACTGAAAATATTTTGAGAACCAAGGGAGCTAAGTGTGGCAGTGGCACACACCTGTAATCCCAGCACTCTGGGAGGCTGAGGCAGGATGACTGCAGCAAATTCAAGCCCAGCCTGGCAACGTGGTAGCTAAGTGAGACCCTGTGTCAAAATAAAATTTAAAAAATCAAAGGCTGGGCGTGAGGCTCAGTGCAAGGGCCCTGGACTCAATCCTCAGGGACATAAATAAGTGCATAAGGGCCTGGGATTTAGCTCAGTGGTTCCACTGCCTGCCTCACAAGCGCAAGAACCCGAGTTTGATCCCCAGTACCAAAAAAAAAAAAAAAGGTGCATAAACCCTGGCGAAGTACCGCACACCTGTAATACCAACACTCAGGAGGCTGAGGCAGAAGGATTACCACAAGTTCAAGACCAGCCTTAACTACTTGGTGAGACTCTATCTCAAAAAATAAACAAAACTGAGGAAAATCACCTCTGAACTGAACTTTTTTCCTTGTCATTATGCTGTAAACAGTAGTGTAACTTTAGCATTCAAATTGTGCTGGGCATTAGGAGGCATGTAGAGATGATGCACGGTGCAGTGTAGGGGAGGCTGCACAATACTTTTCCATAACCAGGATCTGGGTGGGCAGGGCACCGGGAACCCTGCCCACGGACACCCAGGGGCAGCTGCGTGTCTTCCGTCTGTATATACAGCCTGAGGATCATTTACCCCTCTCTGCTCGTGACACCTTCCAGGCGAGAACTTCACTGTGAGATCTCCTCCTCAGAGACGGGCCTGAACCTTCTCCTTATCCTCTTGAAGCAGCCAGTGAAGCTCAGACACAAGAAAGGTCTTCCACACCTTTCCTGTTCTTTTCCACCATCAAGGGCCCTAGGAATGGCCCCAAAGCATCTTGATGTAAGTAAGATGGCCGCGGAGGGAAAAACCTCAGCCCTAAAGACCACTCCAACCTGTGAAACAACTGCCAGGCAAAGAGGTTAAACTCTTTTAAAAAAAAAAAAGGTTCAACTGTGGAGAACAACGACATTTGGCCAAACAAGCTTAACGGAGATGTGAAGAAAGTTCATTTCAGAGAATATTTTATGATCTTTTTTTTTTTATGATCCTTTTTTTTGAGGCAAGGTTTGAGATAGGGTCTTGCTATGTAGTCCAGGCTGGTCTCGAACTCATGGCAATCCCCCTACCTCAGCTTCTACAGTGCTGGGATTACAGATGTGCACCCGCACACCTGGCTAGTAATATTTTAACAGGGCTGGGTAAGTCACTGGGTTAGAGGCCCTAGGTTCAATTTCCATTACCTGGCCGGAGGGCGGCAACCTGCGCCTCTCAATCCTACTTTTTTCAGATGAGGAGAAAACGAGATTTGGGCCAGAGTTATGATCTCAAGTACTAAAGGACGGAGATAGGACAATCCCCAGTTCGCTCACCAATTTCGATCAGCACTTTCCGGCTGAGAACGTTTGGGAAGCGCTTGCTTCCTGAGCTGCAGGGCTCGGGGCGGGCTCCAGGTGGCGCCCACGGCCGGGACCACGAGCCGGGCAAAACCCTCACATGCAAATCCGCACCAGCAGCCGCTGCCCGCGCGAGGCCTCAAGCGTCCCTAACCCCCAGGAAGGGGGAAGGCAGAGCAAGTGTCTCGCTCCGGCCTCCCCTCGGTCCCCAGGTCACGCACACACGGTCCGCAGCCGCTTTCCGCCCCCGCGCGGGCTCCAGGGCGGCGACGCATGCGCGCGCGCCAGCCCGCGCCCCGCCGCCTCGAGGCTCCCCGCGCGCGCACCCGACGGACCGAAGCCGGCGCCCGCCGCAGAGCTTCAGCCCTCCGGCAACCCGAACTCCGCCGGCCAAATCTTAGGGCGAGACTTACGGAGGGAAACTCAGTCACGCTGCAGCTTGGTTTTATTTCTGCCAACATCCCCTGCCCGGGCCGTGGACGAGGCTGAGCACCCGGCCTCAATGCTCTGCCGCGGTCTCCGGGGCCCCGGCCCGCGCACGCACGGTGCTCTGCCGACCTCCTGCTGCAACGCTTCCTAATTAACCCCGGGGCCGCAGCCGCCCCGTTACCCGGGAGGGCGCTCAAGCCAAGCTGCGTCCCGCCCCGGCCCCGTCGAGCGCAAGCAGGTGGCGGCCCAGGGACTCGGCTGGGGCTCCTACATAGTAGGAGGGGACGTCCCAGGCCCAAGGGCCCGGGAGCTCGGCACTGTGTGGCCCGGCCCGGCCCGGCCGTGCGTCCATCCGCCCTCGGTGCGGCCCGGCCGTGAGGAGGCGGGGCGGCGAGTTAAGGCAGCTTGGCGGAGGGAGGAGGGGGGAGTGGGAGCCACCGCCCCTAAGACGCTGGCTCACCGGGGTATGGCGCCGCGCTCCCACTCCTCTCTCGAGAACAGGGGACAGTCAATAAATAACCCGAAGCAGGAGAGCCCGGAGACTCGCGGAGTCCAGGGAGGCTGGAGGGGGTCGCGGAAGGCCGGCGGCCATCTGTCCCTCAGAAGTTAAAGTGGCCGCCGCTGGGCACGGCCAGGGGCGGCTTCGGGGACGGCGGTGGCTTCTCCGCGTCCACCCTCTTCGGGGCGCGGCCGCGGAAACCCTCGGGTCGGCCCAGGTAGAGGAGGTGCCGGCCCGGCCCTGCCGAGTACCTTGAGGCGCCGCCGGAGGGCACGCGCGTGAGCAGCGCGGGGGGCGCGCGGTGCGTGGGGAAGGGAGGCCTGCGGCTCGTGCCGACGCCCAGCCGGGGTGCGGGGGCGGAAAGCGCGGGCCGCCCCGCGCAGCCGCCGTCCGGGGGCACGTCCAGCCGCAGGGGAGGCACGCTCTCGCGCGACAGGGGGTTGGGCTCGGGCGAGAGAGCGCGCGGCGCGAAGGGGGCAGGGTCGGCGGCGGGGCGGGGTGGCTGCGGGCCGTGCAGGTAGCGCAGCAGTTCCTCCAGCGTGGTGACCTCCACCGCCTGCCCCGGGCAGCCGGGCGGCGGCGGCCTCACCAGCACGCGCGGCACGGGCCCGCCTGCCACGTGGCCGCCCCGCGCGCGGCCCGCGCTTTCCTTGGCGTTGTTCCCGTTCTGGTTCCACTCCCAGGGCGCCGGGGGCGCGCGGAGGTGCTTCACCGGCAGCTCGGGCGTGGACTCCGGCGTGGGGAGGCAGGCCAGCTCGGGCGGGGGCCCGCCGTCCGGCGGGGGCAGGAAGGTGCTGTAGAGCTGCGGCGTCTGCGCCGCGTCGCTGTCCTTGGCTGGCGGTGGGGTCTCCGCGCCGGCCCCGTGCAGCCGCGCCAGGCTGCGGAGGGAGAGAGGGCGCGGGAGCCCCGGGGTCTCGATGTCCTTGTTCCCTCGTTGGTGCGCGCGGCGACAAGCACAGGACACCAGGAGGCCAGAGATGGAGGCGCCCAGGGCGAAGGCTGCGGCCACACTGGCCAGGAGGAGCGGGACGGGGACGGACCGCGAGGGTGAGGCCGCGGGGAGGTCCCGGCGCACGCCTGCCACCGAGGGGAGCAGGGCTCAGCCGGGGTCGGGGCTCTTCCTTCCTCGGCGTCCACCTCCCTTGATGCCTCCCAGCAGCCCAATGCAACCCTCACGCGCAGGCCAGAGGATCTGGGCCCTGCTGCCATGCCAAGAGCAACCAAAGGGCCCGTGCAGAGGATTCGGGCCGCAACGCCCGGCTATGGGGAGGGGAGGCTCCAAACAGGCGTTAGTGAGCACCGAACACCAGTCTGCCGGGACCCGAATCCTCAGTCAGCAGCCCCACACGTCACTCCGGCCCCTCCCAGCAGCCCCCTTACCCTGCGTGTGAGCTCCAAGAGTGGAAGCCTGGGGCCCCAGCGGGGCATCACTGGGGGGCCTGGGGGCCTCAGGGGAAGGGCCAGGACCCAGAAGCACTGGTGACAGAGACCAGGTCGGAGCCCGTGAGGCTCCCGCTCTCCACCGAATACCCTCCCAGAGTCCCCTGGCTTTGGAACCCAAGAGTTCCGAACTCCAGGGTCTACTTTCCTCTGGGAGTGGAGAAGGGCTCACCCTGGGGACATTCTTTCCTTTGTGAAAAAAACTACTGCACATCCTTCTGTGTGCCAGGCACTGAGCTATACTTTCGCCTGAGACTCTCAGTGTGTCCAGATGCTGGTCTGCTGCCATGGGGCACAGACTTGGGGGTGCGGGCCAAGCGAGGGCAGCTGAAGCTGGGACAAGAGGACTTACCGTAAGCGGAATCCCCGGGACCAGACTGACTCCCAGTGGCTCCATCTGTGAAGCAGTCAGAGATGGGGTGAAGGGGGAGGCTACCTGAAGAACTGATGGAAGTGACTGCCACACAGAAGTCGAGAAAGACAAAAGCCCACGCCCAAGATGCTGTTTGCGGCCATCAGGGCCACTGCAGCCGGCCCTCTGTTTACCTTGGCAGTCGTCATGCTGGATGGAGTCCTGGTTTCCAGCCTGATCTACATTGGCCCTGGGAAGAAAGGGAAGTGGCTGCAAGCAGGTCTACACCTTGTCCCCATGTCCCAGGCTGGCCCTCAGCTTCCATTCTCAGCGATGTGGAAGATTATCCTCAGGGAATCCAGAAGGTCGCTTACCCTCCAGGTCCCCTGATATCCACACAGCCTCTGGAGCTATGCCATCCACAGTATGGATCCTGAGAAGCCAGACAGCTCCTAGGGGAAACTGAGTCACATGAGGCTGGGACTCCTCCACCCAGTCACACTGCATCACCCTGGTGAATAGGAGGCTCCTAGCACCACAATCCCATCCCCACTCCCACCTCTGCTCCAGGTCCTGGCCATGCCCACCTTCAGAACCATCCCCCCTGTCCCTGCCAGCCCCAAGACTGTGGACCTCTCTGTGCCCCTGCCGGCCAGGGAACTCACCCGGGCAGTCCTGGCCACAGGCCCTCGCTCACCTCTGACAGGCCCCATGCCGAGCACAGCGGCTGACAGGGAGGGAGATGACACAGCCGGAAAAAGCCACAAAGAGCCTGTGACCCTCGGTGTCCAGCTCCAGCCCTATGATGCGTCGTGCTGTTTGGGCTGCCTGCTTCCCACTGCACCTAGGGTGAGACCCGAAGGCATCAACAGAGGCAGGTGAAGAGCTGAGGAGCAGAAGGCAGGGAGGGCCTCACCCTGCTTCCACCAAGCTGGTCCCGCCAAGCCAGCAGTGACCTTCCCAACCCATTGGCATGGCCCATCTGTCACCTCCCCCACCCCTGTCCTTCAGGGAACCGGCTGCCTCACCGGGCAGGGCTGTAGGCGTCAATTTCTTCCAATAGGATGGGATCAGGCCTGGGACGGCCGCTGGGGGGCAGCACCTTCAGCACCATCCCGTCCTCCGAGCCGAGGAACAGGACCGTGGCGTTGCCATTGAGCCCGGCCTTGCCATCCACCACTACCTGCGTCAGGAGAGCCCTGAAACACAGCCTCGAGTAAGGGCGCCCTGGCCTGAGGGTTCAGGGACAGCCGGAGGAGCCTGGGTCCTCCCGCGCCACAGGGGACCCTCAGTGCCCTCCTTCTGCCTTCCTGATTTCTCCTCCCACTTCTGTGGTTGGCCTAGTGGGGTTGGAGCAGGACAGTGGCGGGGGAGTTGGTGACCAGTTACCTGCTGGTGAGGGTGAGGAGAGGCTGCTGGATGGCAGGGGGGACTGCGGGGTCCAGCAGGGGGTGAGCCTTGATGAAGGCCAGGACGTCGTCAGGAAGGTCTTTAGAGGAGGAGAACGAGGCAGCTCCACCCACGCCCGCACAGGATCCGGGCCTGGCAGGCGCAGAAGGGGTAGCCTTAGGGCAGGGAGCCCAGGCCTGGTGAAGCCCCATCCCTCCACTGCTCACCAACAGGGCTGGCAGCTCCTGCCTCATCCACACAGACAGACACTGGCCCCAATGCCCATCCGGACTCGGCCACCCAGTCCCCCTGCCAGCCTCTCCCCAGGCCAAGCCCTCCACACAGCCCCATTGTTTCTGCCCCACAGAGGCCAGCCCCGTCCTGGGTACCTGGGTGAGGGGACCCTGTCCTCAGACACAGGTGTCCAAGCCCCATCCAGACTCCTCTGCTCCTTGAACTTGCCCTCAAAGCCACGTTCAATAACATCCAGGTAGAAGGCACAGACTGCAGAGCCCGGGATGCTGCGGGAGCCAGGAAAGATGCAGGACGGGTGTTGACAGGGCCATGCAGCTCCTGCCAGGTAAGACTAGGCAGCTGCCTGACGTGTGAGGCTGGGACAGCCACTGGGTGCCATGCTTGCAGGAGGGGAGCCAGATGCTGGAGGGGCAGGGGACAGAAGAGGTCACAGTGGTCAGCCTCGTACCAACCTATTGGTCTGGGTGGTGAAGACCCCAAAGAGTGCAGCGCGGCCATGCAGGCTCGAGGGCCCAGTCAAGGCCTGCAGGACGTCAAAGTAAAAGGTGGGGTCCCCAGGGACAGAGCAGTTGAGCCGCAGCTTCAGGAAGGAGGTCCACTGGCCGTCCAGGGCCCGGCTGGAGCCGCCCATGTCACGTTTACACACACGGGCCACACGGGAGAACTGCACCTGGAGGGTGGGAGGGTCAGCAGCCTGGAGATGGGGCACAGGGTTGGGATGGGGTCACGGGCCGACGTGGGAGCCCAGAGCTGGGGATCACCCGAGGCTGGAGGCCCGTAGCCCAGGGGTTGTGTTACAGGGACAAGGATCCAGAGCCTGGTGCCTACTCTTACCCTCCCCAGCCGGGCATCCTCCACAGAGACTTCTCGGAAGAAGAAGTAAATGTGGTCTCCGTGCTCCAAGGCGTGGACAAAGTGTGGCTCTGAGGTGGGAGCATGGAAGAGTCTACACTCACTCAGAAGCTCCCACACCACCTGCCTGCCCCCCAAGCTAGCCCTCTGCTCCTGCTCCCCCAAGAACAGCCTCCCTCCCCAGGCTGCCCTGACCTCGGAGCCACTTGGAGTCGTGCTTGGCAGTGCGGAGCAGGGGCAGAGGCCCAAGGCTTCTGTAAACCACAGGGTCGCTGGCCTGGAAGTCTGTGTTCGTGGCTGAGTACAGGCTGCCCTCTGGGGACGGGGCAGGGGAGCCATCAGGGTCTTCTGCCTCCTGATAGGCTGCCCATGCCCCTCCCTGGCCCCTCCCTCACCCTCCATTCAGGGGCAGAGGAAGACCAAGCTGGCAGAGAAGCTAAGCCTCTCCCTGCTTCTCCCACGCCCAGGTACACACCTGCAAAGATGGCTACATTGGACTGGGTGGCATCAAAGGGGCATCGAGCCCGCCCATCCATCTCCTTACTCTCCTGCTGCAGTGAAGTTATCTGGGGGCAGAGGGAGCAGGTTCCTGGCACACTTGGGGTCCCGGATGCTGGCTCCATGCCCCACCCCCTTGTGTCCCCTCTTGTCCCCAAGTGCCCCTCTAGACCCTTGTGTTCTGAGCAATCCCATTCCCCAACCCCAGTTCCTAGTCCCTTCCTGTCAAACTGCTGCTGAGCTTGGGTTGGGCTCCCAGCCCCGTCCTCCCCTCTGCCCTCTCCTTGGTACCCCGTAGCTGCGGCACTTGGGGTTGAATGAGTTCGTTCCACAAGCGAGGAGTGTCTGGGAGTCCCGGGGAACGAGGACACGAATGTAGTTGTAGCATTCTTCCTAAAGGACCCAAAATTCAAGGGTCACAGAAGTAAGCGACTACCCTTGAGCACTGTAGGAGAGAGTCCCCACTGGGCTGTTGGCTAGCCAGGTGGCCTTGGGCAAGTCCCTTGGCCCCTCTGAGCCTTTCTGTGAAGTGGGTAGCCACAAAGTATTCTTTCATCCCCACTGTCCTCCTGACCTAGGCTGGAAACGCGGGCAGGGAGCTGGGCATGGTGGAGCACTTGGGCAGAGGCTAAGGCAGGGACCCTCTCCTCCCTCCTCACCGTCTGCTTTCCCCGAACGGCACAGTTCTCCACACCTTGGCTCCTCCATGTCAGGTACTGAAGGGAGAGATAAAAGAGGAGCTCGGGAGGCATCCTGGGCCCCTCACATTATGGCTCTTTTCCAATCCTTCCTCCTGCCCTTGGGCCCCTCAGGCCTCTCCCATTCTCGTCCCCGCACCCACACCTCCTCCTGAACAGCCTCACCTTGCTGGGCACCAGCCCTTCCCCTTCTTCTTGGGCCTGAAGGTCAAAGAAGAAGATGTGGTCCCTGCAGGGTAGGGAAGGAAGGGCCAGCGCTCAGCCAAGGCACCCCGTCCTCAGTCCCGCCTGAGGTCCCCTGTGCAGGGACAGCTGTGCAGCCCTCCTGCCCCTGGCCTTGTCCATACTCCATGCTTTGGCACTTGGGACCTAGGTCCAAGTGTGTCTGGGCCCCAAGGCTTGTGCAGCTGCAAGTGTCCCCTGCCAGGTGCTGCAGTGGCCACGCAGGTCCCATGTCTTCCCAGGAGCATGCTTATCTGCCCCACAACTGTGCTGGCCAGTTTACCGGGCTGCGACCAGCAAGGTCCGGTTCAAGGTCAGGAATCTCTGAAAGTCCAGCCCCAGGTCTGCAGCCACGGCATCCTCCTCCAGCCCCCGGAACCAGGACAACGGGGAAGCACCTGGAGACAGAGAGAGGGCGGTGCTGAGGGCACAAGGGTACCACGCAGGCCCCGTGTCCTCTCCAACCGGGGGAAACCCCGCCGCGGACGGAGTGAAGATGGATGGCAGGAGGGGCCCAGCTATTAATAAAAATAACACCTGGAACAGGAGCACCTAATCCCTGCCGAGCACCAAGTTGCACTTTCGATGCACCATCTCATTTCACATTAACCCTGTGACGTCAGCTTTTCAGACAGCAGCCCGGGCATCTGCATTAGCTTGACGTGGCAGACACCAGTATTTACACCTAGATCTGCGGGACTCAAGAGTTGAGCTCGGTCCCCCTCCAAGGCTTCTGACCAATTCCAGGATCCACCTGGCTGGATGCTGGAAACCTCAGCCCCAATGTTCAAAGAGAGCCCAGAGCTCAGCGTGATGCTGAGCATTCACAAAGTGCTGAGAACTGTGATGGCACCTGGAAGTGTTCACTTGTTTGTTTTTGTTGTTTTTTTTTTCGGTACCGAGGATCCAACTCCGGACCTTTTGCTTGCAAGGCAGGTGCCAGAACCCGCTGAGCTAAATCCCCAGTCAGTGTTCACTATTCTTATCAGTCCCCCAACAATTTCTCCCAATAATCCACCCACACTTCCTCCACCCTGCAACTTCCTCCACTTCCTACATGTATAACAGGGACCTGCAAATAGATAAAGTTTTTCCCACAAAGGGAGGTTTAAATTTTCTGTTGTGGTGGTACAAGCAGTAGAGGGGGAAGAGGTGTTGGGAACCACTGACCTGGTCCCAGGCCTTCACTTCGCAACTAAGAATGATAAACAAATATAAACCATTTACTTTGTGCCACACTGTGTTCTCAGCACTTTATACATATGACCTCATTCTGTCCCTAAGTAACTCCATGAGGAAGAATACTATCATCACCTTCATTTTTCAGACGAGCAGACCGAGGCTAAGAAAGGTTAGGTAACTTTTTTGGGGGGGACCAGGGACTGGGGATTGAACTTGGGTCCTTGCACTTGCGCAGCAGGAGACGAAACCACTGAGCTAAATCCCCGGCCTTATGGTTAGGTAACTTTAACCAAGGTCAAATAACTAGCAAAAAGCCAGGCCTGGTGGCACAGGCCTGTAACCTCAGCACTCTGGGAGCCTGAGGCAGGAGGATCACATGTTCCAGGCAGCCTGAGCAATTTAGACCCACTCTCAAAAAAATTTTTTTAAAAAGCTGAGGATGTAGCTTGGTCCATAAGTCCTGGGTTCAATTCCCAGTACCAAAGGAGAAAAACAAAAACAAAAAACTCTGCTAAGATTTGGTCCAAGAATTCATGTTTTTAAACCATGTATTTTTTGGTACCAGGGAATGAACTTGGGACCTTAGGCTTGCAAAGCAGGCAGTGGAACCACTGAGCTAAATCCCCAGCCCCGAGAATTCATGTTTTTAACCACCAAGCAAAACAGTGAAAAACCAGGCCAGGCATGGGAAAGAATAGAGGGCAGGAGGCTAAGGCAAGCAGATTGCCATGAGTTCGAGGCCACCCTGGACTACATAGTGAGATCCTGCCTCAAAAAAACAGAAAATAGGGCCAGGGATTTAGCTGAGTGGCACTGCGCCTGCCTCAAAAGCACAAGGTCCTGAGTTTGATCCCCGGTACTGGAAAAAAAAAAAAAAGAAATAGAAGGGAGGTCAGAAGCTCCCTGCACCTTACATCCCACAAGGCTGAGATGGGTGGGCACACTCACCTTGTAGGTCAGAAGCGAACAGGGGCAAGGGGTCCTGGGGAAAGGCAGCCTGGCTGTGGGGAGGGGCAAGCAGCAGCAGCAGCAGCAAGGGGATGAAGCGGGGGCCTCGGGGCATCCTGTGCCGGGCAGCTCAGGCCCCAGGGGGTACCCCCTCACCCATATGCTGGCCCTGGAAGGGGAGACAGAGAAGAGTGGGGGAAGGGACCAAGGGAGGGCAGCTCCTCTCCAGAAGCAACCCCAGAAGACCCCGGGGATGAGGGGAGGAACCCTCCCCTACAATGCCCCAGTCCTAGCGGCTGTCACTGTCACTCAAGGCTGATCCCTCTCCAACTGGCTCGAACTAGCTGGTGTGAAGGCGCCAGTGACCCCAGGTAAGGACAGGACAAGCCGCTCCCCCTCCAGCCTTCTCAGCCTTCCCTCCTCTCCTGACTGGCTCTGGGGCATTAGGTAGGTTACGCCACCCGGCCCCCCTTGTGCTAACCCCTTCTCAGCTATAATTAGACCCTGAAGCCTTAAAATTATAAATAGTGACTCCTTGGCACCGGGAGGAAGAAGAAGGCACCAAGTCGGCCTCCCCTTCCCTCACAGAACCCCCAGCGCCCCGGGAGCAAGGCAGGCATTGCACGGGTGGGGCAGCCGGGCCAGGCAGAGGTCGCTGTGTGGCACCCAAGCCTCTTGCAGAGTGAGAAAGACCAGAGCGGCCAGGCAGGCCAGGGGTCACTGTTCTGGTCTAGGCGCCTGCTTCAGGGGCCCCTCCCACCGCTAGGAAAGACACTGGGCAGGGAGGGGGCTCAGGGGCTGTCCCAGCCAAAAATGAATCTGCATCAAAGCCAGATCAGAGGCTAAATTTAGCTCTGGCTGCAGCTGTCTCACGACCACTGTCCCCCTCCCAGCGCGCTAGCCCCCTGCTCCCTCCCTGGCTCTGAAGAAGCAGGGCACAGATGATGGGGGAAGGGCCAACCCACCCGCTAAGAGAGGCCAAGGATAGGACTGGTGAGGCGGAATGGCTGATCGTGCCCCTCTTTCCCTCTCTTCCCTCATTGGGCTGCCTCTGAAATTGAAATATAAATAATTCAATGACAGGCAATTGTGGCCCAAAGTCCAGGAAAAGATGGATATGGTGGAAGGGATGGCAAGACAAGTCTCCTTCCAGCCCATCAGCCTCCCCAGCCCGCTGATCCTGGAGTCCCGCAGAGGGCGGTTCAAGCCAGCTTCCTGCCTTCCCCTAAGATTGAAGTGAGGGACAAGGAGGCTCCGGAAATCAGGTCAGGAAGGGGTAAGAATGGTTTCTTTCGTGAACAGATAACAGTAATACTCAATTGCCCATCCCACCAAGCCCCCTAGAGAAGAATTCCTGGGCGTACAGGCCCAACCCGCGTCCATCTTCCCAATAATTCCACTCTTGAAGCCAGGACCCAAGTGTGTCGCTGGTGGGAGGCTGACGTCAGGTGGGGCCCCTGGAGAGCCTCAGGAAGGGAAGGGGTAGGACACCTAATGATGACCCACCTTCCCCAGGGGCAGAGCAGCCAGCCAGCTAACGACCCTCCAGCGCAGGGCCTGGAGCACAACCCTCCCTCCCCGTACTGTGTTCCCGGATGCTAGGGCTCCCCGGGGAAGGAAGGACACAGTTTGTCTCTCTTGCTCCCCCCCCCCCAGTTGCCTTGGGCAACTAATATCTTCACCCAGGAAACAACTCTGGCCTCTAGCAGGTGGGGAGAACAGGGAGACCCTCTTCCTGCTGCCTGGCTGTGCCCGCTTCCATCCCTGGCTTTCCTTACCTGGGATGTTGGCTCCTGCGGGGATGGAGGGGGACAGGAGACCTCTGACCTAATGGAAGAAGGGACAAAAGGAGGAAAGAGGCTGAGTTACACCTCCCTTACCACAGCCCTTAGAAACGCTGCAGAATTCCAAGAGTCAGGAGAGACTGGTGGGATTTAGGAGGATTTATTTCAGGGTTAAGGTGTCCACCAGCTCCACAGACTCCTGTCCAAAGGAAGAGTGCTGAAGGAAGAGAAGTTCCAGCTTTTACACATTTTATAGAAGGGGTGGTTTTCAAGGGCAGTTCTGTAAACTTGTCTTGAAAATAGACAGTGTCTTATGAATCATATGAGAACAGAGTATCATAAACTTTGTTTACAGGACATAGTTGTCAATTTTATCTGTACCAGAACAAGGAGTTACAGCTACAGGGGAGAGGGGGATGATGGGGTGAGGGGACTGCCCCAGGCTGGGAAGGACTTGTTTTTCTTTAAGTCTTGCTTCAAAAGTAAATGTGAAGCTGAGTGTAGTGACAAACACCTATGGCACCAGGGAGGCTGAGGCAGTAGAATCACAAATTCCAGGCCAACCTGGGCAACTCATTTTTGTTGTTGTTGTTTTGTTTTTGAGTCAGGGTCTCGCTAAGTAGTTCAGGCTGATCTTGAACTATGCAGCCCTGGCAGGCCTCAAACTCATGTTGATCCCCCTGCCTCAGCTTCCAGAGGGCTGGCATTACAGGCGTGCACCACTAAGCATGGCCTAGCCTGGGCAACTTTGTGAGACCCTGTCTCAAAATATAAAAAAGGTTTGGGGTGCAGGTCAGTGGGCGAACACCCATGGATTCCATCCCCAATATGGGATAGGTTGATAAGTATGAAAATTCCAGAGAAGTCTGCTGAAGCTCAGTGTGGGGGAGACTGCCTTGAAGGCGGAGGAGGGGGACATGCAGTGTGGTTACAAAGGTGCTGGGGAGGCTTCCGGCTCAGGGAGGAGGGCAGAGGATGGCCCCTAGCCAGAAACTCCTGGAACTGCAGAGCCAGACTTGGGGGAAGGAGCCACTGGGTGAGTCTGTGGGACATGAGGACCACTCCTACGTCAAAACCTTCATACTCCCAGCCTTCTTAGCAAAAGCTTCCTAGCCAGGGACAATAGAGGCTCATTTGCATCTAATTTGCATGCTTTTCATTTCCAGGCAAAATGCTTTGATAGCAGGCACCCCAGCCCCTTCCTTCTTCCCCAGAGCAGGCCCTGCCTCCCTCCCCTACCGCCCTTCCTTGGCCCCCCACGCACACGCAGGCAGGATTGGTCCAGCCCCTGAAAGCATTCGGCCGGCCTTTGCCTTGGCTCCCTCGCCTTACTGTGATACATCTTTGAGGGCTTCCCATAGCTGTTTTGGGGCACAGCATCTGGGTGGTTTCCACCCACCCCTGACCTGGGGAAGGGCTCACTGTGACCTGCAGGAATCCCGGGGAGACCTGGCCGACTCCTTCTCCCCCTTCCTGGGAACAGGAAACAGCCCTTCTCTCTCCCCTCGGCCGGCCAGCTACCTCTGGGGAGTGGCCGAGGTCACAGCCAGAGCCTAGCAGAGCTGGGGAAGGGATGGGAAACGGGGGACAGGTCTGGGGACAATAGCAGGAAGCCCTCGGGCTGGTCGCCCGCCCCGGGGGGCCGGGGGTGTGCGAGGACCCTCGAAGCGCGGCGGCTCTGCTGTCCGAGACCTCTCCCCACCCTTCGGCCTTGGTCAGGCTCAGCACCTTTCCTGCACCCCCCAGCCCCTTGAGAGAACCCAGGTGTCTGCGGCTCCGCGGGAGGTGAGTCTGGGCCAGGGCTGGACCGGGGCTCCGAGGGGTGCAGGCAGCGGAGTCTGGGCCGGGACCGGGTCCCAGAGCCACGTTAGCGGGAGGAGGGGCTGGAGGGGCCGCAGGCGCAGCCCGAGCGCGCCGGAGCGGGCCGGGAGGCGGGGCGGTCTCGGGGCCGGGAAACCGGGCCGGGGCCGGGAACCAGGAGGGCGGTCCCGGGCCGGGCGCAGCGGGGTCCACGAGCGAGGACGCGGCCGCCCGCGCGGCTCTGCTCCTCCGAGACCGGACTAACACAAAGCCCGGGGCCGAGAAGGGTGAGACAAGGTGGACGGTGGAGCCGAGGTTTCTCGGGGGCCCCCTCCCCGACTCTGCTCAAGCCAACCCCCCAGGGGTGCTCGGGCTCCTCCGGGCACAAGGACGACGGTGCAGCCCTGAACCAAAGTGCGAAAAACGCGTCTCCTTTCCATCCCGCAGAGGCATCGGGAGGGTCCGGCCCCCCTGGGTCTCGGAGCACAGTTTCCCTGCGAGGAAGGCCAGAGGCCAGGTTTTCCACCTCCTGCACGGTGCGCGCCGCACCCCAAAATATTCCTTTCCGTGCTCCCCGATCCAACCGGACGCGGCTGGAGAGGACCGGGCGGCGGAGGCGCCGAGACCCTGCGCCCACCAGGGCGGCGACGGAGCTCGGCCACGGCCCCCGCCTCCCGCGCGCCCCAACTCGCGGAGCCCGGCCCGCCGCACCCCGGGTCCCCGAGCCCCGTCCCTGCCCGGAGGTACTGTACTTGCTCGCCGAGGCGGGTCGGTGCCATCCAGGGCGCGGCGAGCGGCCGGAGCCCCGCGCCGCGCGGAGTTCGCAATCCGGGGTTGGGGCTCGGGAGAGACGCGATGGGCGTCCCGATTGGAGAGTCCTTGGCTCTCGGTTCCGGGGCGCTACTGGGTCTCGAGAGTCCTGGGTCCGGGTCACAGCCCCCACTCCCGCCGCGGCTCCGCGGAGGAAAACAATGCGACCGCCCGGAGCTCTGGGCTCGGCCCGAGCCGCCCCGCCCGCCTCCTGAGGGACCCGCCTCCGACACGGCCCCCCCGTTTGCCACGGCCAATCGTGTCCTTAGAAGCCTGTGATACCCCGCCTTCTCGCCGCCTCTCCGCCTATAGTGCTGCTCTGGGGCGGGGCGCCAGGAGTAGCGTCCACCCTGAGAGCCAGGCGGGAGGGTGAGTTGGAGACTAGAGACCCGCGGGAGGTGGAGAGACCCGAGGACAGTCGCCGAAGCCAGGACGGAGGAACACGAACACACACACACACACACACACGCACGCACGCACGCACACACACACACAGAGAAACAGAGACAGGCTGGCAGGGGGAGGTTCAAGGAACAAATGTCACAAGAGAGGACGCAAGAGAAGCTTAGAAAAAGAGAGACAGGAAACCTGGGGGCCCTCTCTGGGCTGTCAGAGCCTGTGAGATCCCCCCACTTTCCTTCAAAGGCTTTGGCACCCCTGTTCCCTAGGGAGGCTTCGCCTCGCTCTGAATCCTCCCCAGCCCTGCGTTTCTCCTCCCTACGATTTTCACCTCTAAGTCCTTTCTCCCCACGTGCCTCCTCCTGTTGGTTCATCTTGACCCCAGTAAGGAGGGTGCGTATAGCTAGGGCCTTGAGGCCTGGGAAAGGGAAGTGTCCACAGGAGGTTTTCCATGTCCCTGTCATCGCCCTGCCCTCCTCAACTGTCAAAGCAAGATGGGATTGGGCCACCATGCCAGGGACCAAGGAGCCAGGAAACTATGGTGGCCAGCAGTCAGGCTGTTGGCTGATGGAAGGTGACAGGTGAGAGGGGCTGATGCCAAAAGAGAACTGTGGAGACCAAGACTAATGTGTTCAGATACTCCACAGAAAGAGGGACAGAGAGCCCTGAAAGATGGACCGTGAACAGCTGCCCTAACCCTGTGTGCTCCAGGGGCCCAGGACTAGTGATGTCCCACCCTGCCTGAGGGCCTCGACTTTCTCTAGACCTCGAGGCTGCTCCTGCTCCCTCCCTCCCCTTCTCCTAAGAATGTCTCTGAGGAGAAAGCAGGAGGCTACTGCAGACCATGGTGCTTGGCCTCCACCTTGGTATTGCCTGATAGGATTCTTCCCTGCGTGGGGTTGGGACAAAAGACATTCTCAAAATTCCCAGGAAAGTAGGTGGCCTGGGAGACACTGGCATTCCTGGAGAGTGTTACTGAGTGGGTACTTCACCCACATCTTGGTCTCTAGACTAGTGGACAGGAGAGGAAGGGGTTTACCATTTCTGCACCAGCCTTAAGCAGACTGGGATCAGAGCAGGTGGCATCACCAATTGGGTTAAGCCCCACAGCAAGCGCGCGCGCGCACACACACACACACACACACTTAGAGACAGATACAGAGATTTAAGTCCAGGTGAGTCAGTAGAAATAGAATCAGAAACAATAGATAGAAATCTACACAAGATTAACTGCTAAAGTGTCTTGGATCCAAGGCAATACAGTGGACCACTGGATTAGCCAGGGATTATTTTAAAGGCTAGAAAGGAATTTGGGGAGAAAGATACATCAACATTTAGAGGAATCAGAGCCAGTGTGGTGGCACACACTTGTAATCCCAGAACTTTGGGGAGGCTGAGGCACGACAATTATAAATTTGAGCCTATCCTGGGCAATTTAGCAATTTAGCTACACCCTGTCTCAAAATAAAAAAGGGCTGGGGATATGGCTCAGTGCAAAGGCCCTGGGTTCAATCCCCAGTACTACCAAAAAAAAAAAAAGGAGGGCCAGGGATTTAGTTCAGTGGTTTTGCCGCCTGCTGCGCAAGCGCAAGGACCCGAGTTCAATCCCGATACCAAAAAAAAAGGAGAGTAGCTCAGTGATAGAGTGCTTGCCTAGCTTGTGACAAGACCCTGCATGGGTTTGGAAAGAAATGGATGAATCTGGGAGTTATTTCAAAAGACAAATCAAACCCAATTCTGTTCCTACTCTCCTGGTGTTCTGAAGAAAATCATACAGTCCCACAGAGTCTTCATAAATGCAGGATCTCATCTCCAGACTAGGAAAGTCACTCTCCTAATCCCCACTTGGAGCCACTTCAAATTGTCCTTCTTTTCTCTCAAGTTCCTTTCCTCACCACTCTGTACTCATCTCTGTAGAACTGACGTCCATCTTCAGAGAAATTAGAGCAATAAGGTGAGACTTCCAACTTTGGCCTCCTGCAGATGAACTCAGCTGCATTCTCACATCTCTCTCATACTGGTAGACAAGGCATTAAAATCTCCTGTCCACTGTACTGTACACTCCATGCAGTGTGTCTGTCCTGCCTGCCACAGTGTCCTTTCCATTCAGCATCGTGCCTGCACATAGTAGGTGTCAACCATTACCACATTAGCTGAACAAGTCTGTACTCTGAGTCTGTACAAGTCTGTACGCCTGCGTGGTGGCACATGCTTCTAATCCCAGCACTTGGGAGGCTGAGGCAGAATTGAGGCTTCAAGGCCAATTTGGGTTACACAGCATTTCTAGGCCAGCATGGAATATAGTGAGACCCTGTTAAAAAGAAAAAAAAAAAAAGACAAGTAGACAAGTTCAAGCCCAGCCCATGCACTTAGGGACTTAGTGAGACCCTATCTCAAAAAAAAAAATTAAATTAAATTAAAAAGGGTTATAGATGTAGCTCAGTATGAAGGCCGTGGCTTCCATCCTCCATATTGAAAATTCTGTACTGTTTCTCCTCGCAGTGCTGAATTTCACATCTTCAAATCCTTTATTTTTTATTCATTTTGGTACCGGGGATCAAACTTGGGTCCTTGCACTTGTGGGGCAGGCGGCAGAACCACTGAGCTAAATCCCCGGCCCTCCTTTATTTTATAACCTTTTATTTTCTGCTGACCTCTTCCTCTCAACACAAATACATGTATATCTCCCAGGTTGAAAGGAAAAACATTCCAAACTTCTCTTAATCCTCATCTGTATGTAGCCATCAGCTAATCTTTCTCCTTTCATAGCTAAGCTTCTAGTCATCTATGCTTACTTATTTTCATGATTCACATTCACTTCTGAATCTTTCTAATTTTTTTTTTTTTTGGTACCGGGAATCAAACTTGGGACCTTGCATTTACAAAGCAAGCAGTGGAACCACTGAGCTAAATCCCCGGCCCTGAATCTTTCTAATTTTTGCCCTCATAAACCCACTGACCGGTGACCTCCTCACTCTCTGCACAGCACTCCTGTCCCTCCTTTTGTCCTTTATGGCGCTTGACCCTGTTAACCTCTCCTTCCTTGAAATGTTCTCCTCTTTTGGCTCATGCAGTTCTTTTCTCTTGACAAAGACAATGAGCTTAATAAATTCTTAAAGTGAATGAATGTCTTCACTTCTATTAATATGCCTTTCCCTGACCACCCCTGGAGTGTGGGTGTTCCCGAGGGTCCCCTTCTCATGGGTCAGAATAATCCAGCTGGGCAGGTGGTATGTATTTGTAATCCCAGTGCTCTGGAGGCTGAGGCAGGAGACTCACAAGTTTGAGTCTGGCCTGAACTACAAAAAAAAAAAAACAAAATAGATAATCCACACTAACAGTGACAATAACTCTGCTGCTCACCATCATTGTACACCCATGTAAACAATTGCTTGTTAGACACTTCCATTTGCGTTTCTCCATTAGTCTAAAGACAGGAAGTCTGTCTTTTATCTTTTTATCCTTAGCACTGACTCATAATGTCTGGCAGGCAGTAAGTAGAGGAAGAAATGAATGCATCGAAGATTAAAAGTAAAAAAAAAGATTAAAAGCTGGGAACTGTCTCTAGCTGGGTCAGGCTGGTCCTGTCTGATTGCTGGAAATCATCCTCTCGTGCTCTGGAACTGATAGCACAGCACTATCCCTGCCGGCTGCAACCTCCTTGAGGCCAGGCGGAGCTCGTGGAGCGTGGTTAGCACGTGGGGGGGCCGTGGGTTCAACTTTCAGTACCAAAAACCAAACCTCAGCTAAATCAAAGGCTGGCCGTGTTCTATTCTCAATATTTCTATGCTATTTCAACTTTTTTCTTTCTTCCTTTTTGGCGTTAGAGATCAAACCCAGGGCCTTGTGCATGCAAGACAAGTGCTCTGCCAATATACTATACCTGCAGACTTCATTCTGTTTCAAAAGGAGATTACTCAGAAAGGTATTATTAATCCCTTGTGGATTAGAGAGTGGTAAGAAGATTTGAAGTAAGTAAGACCTAGGTTCAGCTCTGGAGCAAGGCTTTGGATAAACTCTTTGGCGCTAAAGTAGTATGCTGTCTGTGATGGGCACATTACCTCCCTGCCTACTTCCCAGGACCAACTAAGATTTTGTGGTGAGATGATCTGTAAACTCAAAAGTGCTTCATGGGCAGGAGAGGTGGCCCACGCCTGTGATCCCAGCACTCAGGAGGCTGAAGCAGGAAAATTGCAGTGAGTTCCAGGCCAGCCTGAACTACACAGTGACTTTGTCTCAAAAGAACCAAAAAAACAAAGCTTCCTATATTTAAGACATTATCACTGTCCCATTTTCCGCTTACTCAGAGGCAGCACCATGAACCTCACCATCCAAGAACAGTGAGGACTTCAGGCTATCTGTGGTTCATGCTGTTCACTCCTCCTTTACTTGGCCAAACGTGTTGCAATGTTCAGTTGTCTGCTTTTCTGCTTTCCTAGTCTCCTTTTGCTGTGTTCATTCTGTCACCAGTGTTCTTATATCTAAAAGCACCTCTTTCTTCTTTTCATTTGCTACTAATTATATGCTGTGGATAAAGATTACTAGAAAGGGGTACAGAGGCCCGAGGATTTAGTTCAGTGGTTTCGCCACGTGCTGCACAAGCACAAGGACCGGAGTTCGATCCCTGGTACCAAAAGAAAAAAAAAAGAAAGAAAGAAATGGGTACAGATTAAGAGAAAATAAAACCTTCCCTAGGAACCCGGTAAATGAACATCATTACATGTGACTGCCGCTGTGCGACCATCCCCTCTCCCCCTTATCTCTTTTTTTTTCCCCCTTATCTCTTGTTGGATGTATTTTGAATTTGTACTTTCAGAAAATATTTACTGAGCGCAGAAAAGCATCATCTCTGTCCCCGTCCAGTCCACAGTTGGGTGGGAAGGCAGTCTCTGAGATCACACAGGAGTGTGAGTCTAGAGGGCTGCACAGCAGAGGGGCTAAGGGAAGACAGGGTTTGCAGAGGAAACACACGGGAAAAGGATGTGTGGGAAGTGAGTTCTAGGCAGAGGGACAAGAAGTGGGAAGGTATACAGAACACAGGGACAAGTGGCAGGAGGTGGGGGAGAGACCACCACAAAGTGCTATAAGAAGTAAGAGAGCCACGGATGGTGGCGCAGGTCTGTGATCCCACTCAGGAGGCTGAGGCAGGAGGATCGCCATGAGTTTGAGGCCAGCCTGGGCCACACAGTGAGACTCTTTTTCCAAAACAAACAAACAAACAAAGTAAAATTGTAAGAGAAAATCAACAAGGGTGGAGCAGAGCACAAGAAGGGACTGAAGACAGATGGAGCAGGAAAGGTGAATAGGTAGAGTGAGGAGAATTCTGGGCTCAGAAACTATTACCGTATTTGTATCTTCTTGTAGTTTTGTTGCCTATTTATTTATTTATTTATTTATGGGGACTGAACCCAAGGCTTTTGCACTGAGCTACATTCCCATCCCATTTCCAATTTTATTTTTTGTACCAGGGATCGAACTCAGAACCTTGGGCTTGCAAGGCAGGTGCCGGCACCATTGAGCTAAGCCCCTGGCCCCTCCAATTTTTATTTTGAGATGAGGTCTTGCTAAGTTGCCCAGTCTAGGCTTGAACTTGAGATCCTCTTGCCTCAGCCTCCCAGAATGCTAGGATTCCAGGCAGGTGTGCAATCACCATGACTGGCTGCCTTTGTTCTTATTTTCCAAGTAGACTGTACATTTCCCTGTCTCTCCCCTATCTACATGTATCTTTCTTTTGTTTTGTTTTTTGGTACCAGGGATCCAACCTGGGTCCTTGAGCTTGCGCAGCAGGTGGCGAAACTACTGAGCTAAATCCCTGGCCCTCTTCATCTATCTTTCTTTTGCAGTGGAGATCAAACCCTATTAATGCTAGGCAAGCCCTCTACCACTGAACTATACTCCCTGCCCCAGTACATTTCTTACAAAAAGGACTTTTCTTTCCCTATGATTTTTGCTAGTGGTGCCTAGTATTGTCCAAAGTGTGTGATTAGTGTATTCATAGAGCAAACAGAAGTAGAATGCAGCCATGCTAGGCTATTTAAGTAATTAACTCAAAAGCTTGTGGGGCCGGGGATTTGGCTCAGTGGTTTCACCAGCTGTTGTGCAAGCACAAGGACCTGAGTTCGATCCCTGGTACCAAAAAATATCCCCCCAAAACTCAAAAGCTTGTGAGTTAATCATCAGAAAAAAACACATTCTTGAGAAACACAAATGGTCCTCATGCTGCCATTTCTAGATCTGTAACTTGGGGACAAGTTATTTTAACATGTTTAAGCCTCTGCTTTTTCATCATCAAAAAGGGTAGAGTGTAAAGATTAAATGAGATAGGGCCCGGGATTTAGCTCAGTGGTTCTGCTGCTTGCTTCGAAAGCACAAGGACCCGAGTTCAATCCCCTGTACCAAAAATAAATAAATAAATAAAGATTAAATGAGATATTTAAACCAGGTGTGGTGGTGCACACCTGTAATCTCAGGACTTGGGAGTCCGAGACAGAAGGAATACTGGAGTTCAAGGCCAGCCTGAACTACATAGCAAGACCCTGTGCAAAAAATAAATAAAAATAAATTTTTTGTTACCAGGAATCAAACTCAGGGCCTCATGCTTGCCAAGCAGGTGCTCTGCCACTGAGCTACATTCTTGGCCCCTAAAAATAAATTTTAAACAATTAAAAAATGAGACATTGGCTGGGGATTTAGCTCAGTGATTTCGCCACCTGCTGCACAAGCAGAACAACCTGAGTTCGATCCCCAGTTCCAAAAAAAAAAAGAGATGTTTACACATCTACACAGCACACCCCACAATGCCCGCTCCTTTCTCACTTCCTTCCCCAGAACTCTTAGCTCATTCATTTTCATCTGCCCTACACCTTACTCCACAGCTATCCTCTCTCCTCTGCATTTGCTAAGCCTCCCTCTCCTCTGGCTCCATTCTTAGCCTTCCAACATCCTCAGCTAAAAGCTAAAAATAGTCCCTCACTCAGTCCAGCTCCCCATTCCTAAAGCTTTCCATTTCTCTTCATCCCTCTGCCACCAAACTACTTAAAAGACTTGTCGACATTCCCAATCCAGGGCCGGGGATTTAGCTTAGTGGTTCCGCTGCCTGCCTCACAAGCGCAAGGTCCTGAGTTCGATCTCTGGTACAGAAAAAAAAAAAAAAATTCCCAATCCAAGTTGATCCCAGAGCTAGAGAATCAGCTCTGGATCCCAGGAGTGAGGAAGAGCGGTGGAAATAAGGAGACAGGGCCAATCACTGTTTCCGAGGAGCACCTTGGGCACTCTTCCACTTTGCATAACCAAGCAACTTCCCCGGCTTTCCCCTTCTTGAGCCTCTCTCCCATAGAGTCACCATATCCTGGGACCCTCGGGATAGCTCAGTGGTGGAGCACAGACTTGGCGAGGGCCCAAAGCCCCTCACCCTGTGCCAGGCCAGCTATATCATCCTGTCACTTATCAATACCCTTCCCCAACTACACATTTATTGAAGCATCTCACACATTCCCACTGAGCTAATTATTTTACTTCCCTGATCACTTTTAGAGTTTCCTCACTGCCTACAGGAAAGCCTTGAACTTTTTAGTTTTTTTTTTTTTTAGGCAGAGTCTCACCAGATTGGCCTTGAACTCGAAATCCTCAGCATCCAGAGTGCATCCACTATGCCTGGCACAAGGCCTGAACTCTTGAGTAACTTCTTTAAAGTCAGTCACTGTCTCAACTTTTTCTTTCATCACTTATCTCTTAAAGAATGTATACTCCAGATATGCAGAATAAATCACTCCTTCCTGAAAATGTCTCATATTGTGATTATTCACTGTATGTGCTAATGCGGTTCCAGTCATCTGGGAATCACTTCTTTCCCATCTCTGGCTTTTAAATAGTTTAAATTTCCGGGGATGGTGGCACACACCTGTAACCCCAGCACTCTGGAGGCTGAAGCAGGATCACTGCAAGTTTGAGGCCAGTGTGAACTATATAGCAAGACCTTGTCTCAAAAAAAAAAAAAGTTTAATCCTTTTTCTTTTCTGGAGTGTGTGTGTATGAGACAGGGTTTGGCTATATTGCCCAGGCTGGCCTTGAACTTGCAGTCCTCCTGGCTTAGCCCCACGATTATAAGTGGTTGAATCTATGACTCCAAGTCTACCTCCTCTAACCAATCAGGACTAATCTAAACTTGTAAGCTTCTTTACTCCTAAATCTTTTTTTTTTTTTGGTACTGGGGATCAAACTCGGGTCTTTGTGCTTGGGTGGCAAAACCACTGAGCTAAATCCCTGGGTCACTCCCATAATTCTTTTTTTTTTTTTGGTACTGGGGATCAAACTCGGGTCTTTGTGCTTGGGTGGCAAAACCACTGAGCTAAATCCCTGGGTCACTCCCATAATTCTTTTTTTTTTTTTGGTACCGGGGGATCGAACTCGGGTCCTTGCGCCTCCGCAGCAGGCAGCGAAACCACTGAGCTAAATCTCTGGCCTAATTAGTGGAATCATTTTGCTTTGCTTTCTTCCCCTCCAGAGTCTCCCTGTGTAGTTCAGGGTAGCCTTGAACGCTTGGCAATCCTCCTGCCTCAGCCTCCCAAGGGCTGGCATTACAGCCATGCATTGCCATGCCTGGCCTTCTCTGCTTGTTTTGAGATAGGGTCTAAGTGTGTAGTCCAGGCTGGCCTCGAATCCACCAGGCCCGGCTGTGTTATAAGACTGTAGTCGGCAAATATTTTTGTCACCTTCAAGAACTGTGACATCTCATTGGTGGGTCCCTGAAGGCTTCTTTCCTTAGTGCTTCAGTACAGTGCTGACACCTGCCGGTCACAGGTGGTTCGGCAGCCCTGGCCCCAGTGTTTCCACCCTCCAGTACTAAGGGCTGGGATACCTGCTAGCCACCTTCCAGGCAGGCACTGGACGATGCTCGTGATAATGTTGCCCCATAGTGCCACCCTTTCAAGCTTGAGAACTTTTTCCCCACTGACCCCCAACCCCAGTCCAATCAGTTTGGACTTTACATCCTGCCCAGTGCCACAGAAGTAGAATAGGGTCTCAAGGAGCTGGGCAGCAAGAAAGAACCAAGAAGTTTTGAGAGCAGGGATGTGCAATCCCTTTTCCCCACCTCGAAGTCAAGCGTATTTCCAACAGAGTCCTATTCCTCTCGACCTCTGTCTTATTTCGAGCTTTCTCTTGAGCCGGTGAGGAGGACCCGGAGGTTGAGCAGAGTAGGTAGGCGGGGCCTGCGGGTGGGGCTGGGCCAAAGGGCCTCTCACCCGGGAGCTTCTCCATTCTGTCAGCTCTCCCGGACATCCACACCAGACTGGCCCCCGTCCCTCGTGGCAGGTGAGGGACTGTCCATGACGAGGGTGGCTTCAGGGGGCTGGTGGCAGAAGGGTCTCTAGCTCCTTCAGCTTTAACGTTCCATATTGTGGAGCTCTAACTTGTAGAATTCTTGGGTCCCCAGTAGATCTTAGTTTTCCCATGGGGCAAGGCAGCCTTTGAAAGACCTGGCTTGGGATGGGGTTGGGTGTGGGGCTGAGGGGCAGGGTGGGCACGGGCAGCCGTGTGACAGATCTCAGAAATCTTGAGGCATGGAGAGATGGCGAGGACCAGAGGGAGAACAGAAGATCATAGGGAAGACCCAGGAGAGAGCGGGGGAGAGAGAAGGCAGTGAGGACAGTGGGGCGAAGTCGAGCTGCCAGAGGGGCAATGGGGAGCTGGCTAACAGAAAAGCGGAGGAGGAAGGAAGCCTCACTTGGAGCAACTGCGTCTTCCGGGCCTCTTCCAGCTGTGGAGCCGGGTCAGAAAGCCCTGGGGCAGGTCAGGAGCAGATCAGGGCTGCAGGCTCCTACTGGAATGCTCTGTGGGGAGGAGAAACCCTCGGGGTTACTGTCTCCCCTGCCTCTTCGGACTCCCAGTGTCCTTTGGAGGAGAGGGCGAGGCTGCTCTTCACTGCGGTCATAGCCACATCCTGCAGAGCAGGGGAGGGGGAAGTAAGAAGCAAAAACAACTAGAAGAAGCACAGGAGGGGGCCGTGGGGCGGGAACCTGGACCTCTGCAGCAGAAGCACCCAGCAGGGTTCTCAGTGCAGCCCGGAGCCCGCACACCTGCAGGCTGCTGCCCTGGAGGCCGAGTCCCAGCTGGGCGCGCCGAACGCGCAGCCTTGAAGACAGCGGTCCAGGGAGAAAGGGATCCTGGGATTACTTGACCTGAAACTCATTTTTATCATTTACTATGACTCCAGCCAACACGCTTCATTTCTCTTAACTTCAGTTTTCTCACGGTAAAATGGGGACACCTGTTTATACAGTTGGGGAGAGAGGCAGTTCACAAAAAACACTCGGCACACAGCAGGCTCTCAGCAAATGTTAGTTATTCTTATTAGGACTCCCAGGACCTGTTTCCACTTCTTTAAAGGCAACAACTGACATGGGCTCTCGGAGTCAGGAAATCAGTTGTGTCTGATCTCTGGTAAATAATTTTTTTTTTGGAACCAGGGATTGAACTCGGGTCCTTGTGCTTGCGCAGCAGGCGGCGAAACCACTGAGCTAGATCCCCGGCCCGTCTGGTAAATAATTTAACACAAGCCTCAGCTTATGGAGCGCAGGACCTATACCTGCTGGACAGAGGGTGCAGAGCCAGGGTCCCTGGGGTGGTGTGGGAGTGGCCTGTCAGCTAAGCCCCTCCTCTGGTGGAGGCTGCCTTCCCTGGGGCCTCCAGGGGGCCTAGCAGTGCTCCTCCAGATGCTCCTGTAACACTAAAGGAAAAGCAGGAGGGAGGCAGCAAAACACAGAGGACCCAGGAGGCGTAGGGGAAATGGGACAAAGTAACCAAAGAAGCAACAGAAAGGGAAAAGCCATTTCTCTTTTTCTAAGAAAGCCTGTGGCCTCTCTTCTAGCCACTGAGCGCATCCCCGTCCCCAGGGACCATGGAGTCCTTTAGCTCAAAGAGCCTGGCACTGCAGGTGGAGAAGAAGCTGCTGAGCAAGATGGCGGGCCGGTCTGTGGCTCACCTCTTCATCGATGAGACAAGCAGTGAGGTGCTGGACGAGCTCTACCGTGTGTCCAAGGACTACACGCATAGCCGGCCCCAGGCCCAGCGGGTCATCAAGGACCTGGTCAAGGTGGCGGTCAAGGTGGCCGTGCTGCATCGCAATGGCTGCTTTGGGCCTGAGGAGCTGGCCCTGGCTACTCGATTCCGCCAGAAGCTGCGGCAGGGCGCCATGACGGCGCTAAGCTTTGGGGAGGTGGACTTCACCTTTGAGGCCGCCGTGCTGGCTGGCCTGCTCACCGAGTGCCGAGATGTGCTGCTGGAGCTGGTAGGGCGCCACCTCACCCCCAAGTCCCACGGCCGCATCCGCCATGTGTTCGACCACTTCTCTGACCTGGGTCTGCTCACCGCTCTCTACGGGCCTGACTTCAGGCAGCACCTTGGCAAGATCTGTGATGGGCTCAGGAAGCTGCTGGATGAGGGAAAGCTCTGAGCCTGGACCAGGCCTTGTGCCTTGGCTGACCAGAAAACGACACACCGAGGGCTTCCTAACCCTGCTCTAGGCACTAGCGCTTCTCAGCCCCGGGCTTCATTCTCTCCCACCGGAGCCTCACTGCTGGGAGAGAAGACCCATGCGAGGGGGCCTCACTCCCACTCCAGCCCCAGCACAGGAAACAGCTGCCTGAAAAAGGCGAAGTGAAACTTGGATCTCTGTTCCTCCCACAAGGGACGTCTGAAACAGGGAAGGCCCCTCCCCTACAAACCAAAGGGGACAGAACCCACACAACCTCCTGGAGACACTAAGGACAGAAGCGGGGGGTGGGGGGGTGGCCCTTGGAGACACCCTGGCCCTCCAGCTCTAGGCACAGTGTGGACAGATACCAGAGGCTCTGTCCCAGGGTGCAGGAAGAAGGGGCAAGCCAGGGAGAGTCTCACTGGGGAAATAAAACTACTGAAACATGCACAGGCCTCAATGTTTAATCTCTCCAGCTTCTACACCTCAGTACCATCACAGGAAAGGAGGTATATACACGCCACTCGTCTCACCTCTCACCACTTCCAAACAGGAGGCTGAGGCATATTCCCAGTACGACTAAGCTTCCCTTGCCTACTTCTTCTGTTTGAGAAACAAAAAGCAAGCTGTGCTGCAGATCAGGGCTACAAGTCGCAAATAAATACACCGTGAGGAGCAAGGCATAGACAGGCTCTGGTGGGGGTGTGCAACAGAGACTCCCACGGCGACCTCCTCCTCCTCCACCGCCACGGCAGGCGACCTCCTTCCACCCCTCAGCCCCATGGCAGCCCGAGCAGAGGACGGGTTAGAAGGGTGAACGGGCAGAATGGACAGGTCAGATCCCTACTTTGCTGCTGGTTCTCGGAGCAAGAGTTGTGAAAAAGTCACATGGAAAAGGTTAGTCAAGACTGACCCCAAGCTAGGCATGGTGGTGCACACCTGTGATCGATCCCAGCTCTTGAGAGGCAGAGGCAGGAGGAGTGCCCTGAGTTCGAGGCCAGCATGAGCTATACAGTGAACTCAAGGCCAGCCTGCACTACAAAGTAAGACCCTGTCTCAAAAAACCAAGACTGGGACCAAATCCTTGTCCTTGAGACTGAGGAAAAGATTCCCTGTCCTCAGTGTCATGCTCAGCAAAGGAGCTGGGGAAGCTGGGGAACCAGCTGCCAATGGCTCACGGTTGTGGGCTATGGCAATCCCATTTTTAGGCTGAGAGTGGGAAGGAATTAGATATAGCAAATAAATATTACTCAATATAGCACCAAATAAATTAGGTAACAAAGTTGGAGCTGGGAAGTTGAAGGGAAGTCTCTGCTTCCTTGCTCTAAGGGCAGGGAATGGTCAGAGATAAGAAAGGCAGCAGGGATGTAAAAGCCACCCTAATCTCAAAGGACAGCTCCAGATTCAGCCAAGAACTGGGAAGGGATCTAGTCCTCATCTCCTACTTTTACCCCCCAAAATGCCCTCCAGCTCTTGATGGCCAGGAGGCTGGGGAAGATGGTCAGAGAGAGGCAGGCTGGGAAGCCATGTTCTTGAGCCTCACCTCAGGCTCCTCTCTCTCTCAAGCTGTTCCTTCCAAATCCTGCTTCCCTCAGTCACTTCAGGGGACATCAGAGTTTGAAGATCTCATCCTCCTGGTCCCGAAGTGTCCGAGTCCGAGAGGTCCGAGTCAGTGGCACAGGACCTAGGACTGCTCGTTGCTGCATCCTCGGGGAGCTCAGGTGGAAACGTGGGTCCTTCCCCGGCACCCTGTAGGTGAGGAAAGGGGGGAAAGAGTCACAGATCAATGGAAGAACTGAGGATGGGCCAGGAGGTACAGGGAAAGCTGTTGTCCTCTCCTGCTTCACGAGCTTTCTGCTCCAAGATGGTCTCAATATCATCTGGAAAAGTCTTAGCCCTAATGCTCCTGCATGGACCAAGAAAGCAGCAAGAACAATCAACTGTCTTACACCAGGAAACACAGAACCCAGCGTCCCAGCGCCTCAACCCCTCCAGCAGCCACAGGCTGTGCTCCGTCTCTGGGCCACCCAGGGAAAGGTCCGCCTCGCTTCTGCTGCTGCTGTCCTCATTTCCTTGTGCTCATGGGGAGGCTGGCCAGGGGTCTATGGAGCAACTTAGGAAGACTCACTCAGCACTCACCCACTTTCTCCTTTGCTCAGCTTCTGTGCAGCAACCTTCTTTGACAGGCTGATCTGTGAGTCAAGCTTCTTAAGGAAATCGGAGGCGGAGAGGTCATGGGTGGGCCCGGGGGAGTCCTGGCCAGGTGTGGGGAGGATGTCACCTTTGGTGCGCTCTGAACCCGGCTCTTGTTTACTGCTCTCAGCCGAGTGTGGCCATGAGTCACCCTTGCTTGGGCTCACCTCTTCCTCTCCATCTTTCTCTTCCTCAGAATCCAAACCATTGAACAGGTCTCTGGGCTCTGTCAGGATGGGGATGTAGAGGGTTTTCTTCAGGAAGATGGAGTCATTAGTATAAAGGCGGTTTGCACGCTTAATCTGTTCCATCTTTAAAAAAAGGTCACCAAAATTAATGACAGTAACAACTATCAATCTTATATAAAATCTCAAGCTTCTAAAAGTAATTATACAAGCCCAGTGTGGTGGCGCACGCGCATAATCCCAGTACCTGGGAGGCTGAGGCAGGGCTGTCACAAGTTTGAGGCCAGCCTGGGATACATAGTAAGACCCTGTCTCAAAAAATCAATAAAAGAGGGCCAGGGATTTAGCTCAGTGGTTCTGTCACCTGTCTCATAAGTGCAAGGTCCCGAGTTTGATTTCTGATACCAAAAAAAAAAAAAAAAATCAAAAGAAAGAAAGAAAAAGAGAGAAATAAAGCTGAGAAATCTTAAAAGCCTATATATAAAAATAACAAACTCATTACAAGTTAACATATACATGTTAATGAAAACTCTATTTTTCAAGACAAAACAAAAGTAGCGAGGACAGAGGCACTGCCTTGTGTTTTTGCAAATCACTTTAATGGCTGACCTAGCAGAGGGCAACAGGATTTCTCTGGCTGCTTCCACATTCAATCTGTTGCAATATCACACATCATGCAGTCCCTGGAAACACTGTACACTCATGAGAAATAACATCTCACTAGGAAAATAGTTCTGAGCTTGTGGGCCCAGGAGAGCATGGGACCTCAAGGTGAGAACCACTGTTAAAGGTAAAGGTAGGGCCGGGGATTTAGCTCAGCAGTTCCACCGCCTGCCTTGAAAGCACAAGGACCCAAGTTCAATCCCCAGTACCAAAAAAAAAAGATGGTGAATTTTGGGGCCAGGGATTTAGCTCAGTGGTTTCACCGCCTGCTGCACAAGCACAAGGACCCGAGTTCGATCCCCAGTACCCAAAAAAAAAAAAAAAAAAAAAAAAAACCAAAACAAAGGTAAAGGTAAAGGCTCTGAAAGGTTAAGCTACTTGCTTAAGTTTATCTAGCAAGTGAATGATGGAGGCAGAACTAGAATCTTGGGCCTTTTCATTCCCTTTGGAAATGCTTTTCTTTTTCTTTTTTGGTACTGGGGATCAAACTCCAGACCTTGCGCTTGTGAGGCAGGCAACAGAACCACTGAGCTAAATCCCTGGCTGGAAATGCTTTTCACACTATACTAATTATTTCTTTTATCAGATTTTAATTTTGTACCTATTTATTCATCATGGAGTAAGTGACTGGCATCACTGTCTACCTGGCCTTGCAAGGCAGAAATATCAGTGTTGGGCTGGGATGTAGCTCAGTGCCAGAGTGTTTGCTTAGAAAAATCAATGGCAAAAAAGCCGGGTGTGGTGGCACACACCTGTGATTCCAGCACTTGGGAGGCTGAGGCAGGAGGATGGATCACTGTTGAATTTGAGGCCAGCCTGGGTGGGCTACTTGGCGAGTTCAAGCCTAGTCTGAATTAGAGAGACAGAATTTACTGTCTCAAAATAAACAAACCAAGAAGAGGAGGAGGAGGAGGAAGAAAGAAATATCAGTATCACCTTTAACAAATAATTTTTTTTTCTGATACTACTAGAGTTTGAGCCCAAGGCCTTCACACTAACCTATATTCCCAGCCCTTTTTCTTTATCTCAAGACAGGGTCACACTAAATTGCTAAATTGCACAGACTGATCTTGAACTTGCAATCTTCCTGTCTCAGCCTCCCAGAGTGCTGGGATTACAAGTGTGAGCCATTATGCCTGGCTTAATTTATACTTTTATCACCCATACCAAACTGGTCAACAAAAGCTTTTTAAAAATCTGGGGTCTTGGAGCCAGTCATGGTAGTGCCTACCTACAATCCCAGCACTCTGGGAGGATGGGGCAGGAGAATCCCAAGTTAGAGCTCACTCTGGGCAAACTGCAAGACACTGTCTCAAAAACTAGAAGAGGTTGGGGATAAGGCCAGGTGTGGTGGCGCATGCCTGAATCCCAGCACTAGAAAGGCTGAGGCAAGAGGATTGCTGTGAGTTCGAGGCCAACCTGGACTACATAATGAGTTCAAGGCCACCCTGAACTATTACATAGCAAGACCCTGTTTTAAACCCTTCCCCTCAGAAAAGGTCTGGGGATTATAGCTCAGTGTGAAACCCATGGGTTCAATCTGGGGGCTATGGATCCAGCTAAGTGATACAGTACTTGCCTAGTATGTGCAAGATTCTGGGTTCAATCACCAGGACTGCAAAAATGAAAAGAAATGCCAGGCATAGTGGTGAACCTGTAATACCAGCACTCTGGGGAACTGAGGCAGCAGGATCACAAGTTCATCTAGCCTAGATAACTTAGTGAAAAACTGGGACGCTGTCTTAGAAAGCAAAAGTCGTGGGCCAGGGATTTAGCTCTGTGGTACCATGTCTGCCTTGCAAGCACAAGGTCCTGAGTTCAATCCCTGGTACTGAAAAAAAAAAAAAAAAA